CACGCCAAGTGAATGTAGGAAAGTACTCTTAACTGCATTTGCGTTAATAGCCTGACTTAATCTTGATGCTTCGTTGGGTCACTAACCTTTCAATTACAGCCAATGTACAAGAGAACATTTATCTACTTAAGGAGAAAAAATTAGAGTAGTTTCTCTGCTATTGGACAGAATCATAGAATCAAAGAGTTGGAAGAGACCTCATGGGCCATCCAGTCCAACCCCCTGCCAAGAAGCAGGAATATTGCATTCAAATCACCCCTGACAGATGGCCATCCAGCCTCTGTTTAAAAGCTTCCAAAGAAGGAGCCTCCACCACACTCCGGGGCAGGGAGTTCCACTGCTGAATGGCTCTCACAGTCAGGAAGTTCTTCCTAATGTTCAGATGGAATCTCCTTTCTTGTAGTTTGAAGCCATTGTCTGTGTCCTAGTCTCCATGACAGCAGAAAACAAGCTTGCTCCCTCCTCCCTATGACTTCCTCTCACATACAGTATTTATACATGGCTATATAGGTTAAGGGGGCCCCCTGTGGCGCAGTGGGTTAAAGCACTGAGCTGCTGAGCTTGTTGACCAAAAGGTCGCAGGTTCGATTCCAGGGAGTGACGTGAGCTTCTGCTGTCAGCCCTAGCTTCTGCCAACCTAGCAGTTCGAAAACATGCAAATGTGAGTAGATCAATAGGTACCGCTCCGGCGGGAAGGTAACGGCGCTCCATGCAGTCATGCTGGTCACATGACCTTGGAGGTGTCTATGGACAACGCTGGCTCTTCGGCTTAGAAATGGAGATGAGCACCACACCTCAGAGTCAGACATGACTGGACTTAATGTCAGGGGACAACCTTTACCTATATAGGTTAAACAGGAAGCAAACACTCACTCCAAGATAGCTTCAAAGGAATGGCACAAGGATTATGAGAACGGATCTGATTTCAACTGAGGCGTTATGTTATGTCTGTTTTGTTGATCTGTCTTGTTGATTGTTAACTGTTGTGGATTGATGCTGTTGATCCTGTTTGTTGCATTGTTATGTTTTAATTGCACTGACACTGTTTGATAATTGTACCATGTAAACCGCATTGAGTCGCCTGAAAAATGCGGTATAGAAATAAAGCAAATAAATAAATAAATAAATAAATAATAGTCACTAATTGCTGATCTGAAACTGTCAATCATTGCTGGCTGAAAAATTTAGCCTTGCCTCCAAAACAAAAACAAACACTTTAGGTGTGGCCTGTTAGTGCCTGGGAGAATCCTTTGTGGAAAGGTGATTAGGTGTTCCTGATTATTTCTTGTCTGGAGTTCCCTTGTGTTTGAGTTTTGTTTTTTATTTACTGTTATAATTCTAGGTTGGTTCATCAGGTGTTCTGCTATGGCTGACTTCTTTGACATTATCTGCAGTGTTCCTAGATTTGTGTTTGAGCGCTGCTTTTGGTCCCCATGTAGACTTGTCCACAGCTGCATGGTATATGGTAGACTCCTGCAGAGGTGAGAGGATCCCTCTTGAACCAACCTGGACACAGCATATTATTGGAGAACACAGAACTGTTGGACCACTCTAACAACCACCATATCAGGCTACACAAAGAAGCCATTGAAATCCACAAGCATGTGGACAATTTTAACAGAAAGGAAGAAACCATGAAAATGAATAAAATCTGGCTACCAGTATTAAAAAACTTGAAAATTATAACAGTAAATAAAGAACAAACTCAAACACAGGGGAACTCCAGACAAGAGCTTATGGTGAGGATCCAAAGGAGGAACAGCATGGAGAGAAGGTGCCAAATCTTCCTCATTCTTCAGTCACTCAACCACATATTTTATTAACTCCAACCGGAGAGGAAAGAGCTGCTATCTGAAACTGAAATTACCATACTGTTGTTTCTCCTGACTGTTTCTCTATCCACTGCTGCACAATTTAATAAGATGTTCTGAATAGCCAGCTGCTAGAACTGTCCCTTGGGAAATTCTTCCATGCACAGCCAAGGAGTGGAAAGCAATTTCTTCCAAAAGCCATAATTAACAGCTCCCTCCTCCTTCCTGCCTTAACGAGGGGTTCTTCTGAAATGCATGCTAGCAGTTTCCCCAAGATTGCAATGTGTGCATGTGTTAAATTATTTACCCTTGTTGCCAAAATGAAACTGACATATAAGGCAGGGATACAAATTCATGAGACCTTCCGGATCAATGCTCCTCAATCTCTCCAGTTTAAGAAACCAGCAATTTTGCCCATTGGCTTCAATGTTTCTCTCTTTCCTTGGCACTTAGAATAATAGAATCATAGAGACCTCATGGGCCATCCAGTCCAACCTCCTGCCAAGAAGAAGGAACATTTCTAATGTTCAGGTGGAATCTCCTTTCCTGCCATTTGAAGCCATTGTTCCACGTCCTAGTCTCCAGGCCAGAAGAAAACAAGCTTGCTCCCTCCTCCCTATGACTTCCCCTCACATGACTATCATGTCTCCTCTCAGCCTTCTCTTCTGGAGGCTAAACATGCCCAGCTCTTGAAGCCGTGTGTGATTCCAGGTAATGTGGTCTGACCAAGGCAGAATAGAACGTGGGTAGCATGACTTCCCTGGATCTAGACACTAGACTCCTATTTATGCAGACCAAAATCGCATTGGCTTTTATCATGGGTGATCCTGGATCATGGTTGAGTTGTAGTCCAGCACTCAAACCACTATCCCACACTGGTTCTCAAGGCAGTGATACAGACTACCAAATAATATACCCTCCCTCCAAATGGAAGTGGAACAAGCTAGAAGACCAATTCTGGGTTGGAAGATATCGTGGTCTTTGGAGGCCATCTAGTTTAAATTTTGAAGGAATCATATGAGATGCCCAATAGAGTGAGAATCCTAGAATCATAGAGTTTGAAGACACCTCATGGACCATCCAGTCCAACCCCTGCCTAGAAGCAGGAATATTGCAGTCAAAGCACCCCTGACAGATGGCCATCCAGCCTCTGTTTAAAAGCTTCCAAAGAAGGAGCCTCCACCACACTCCGGGGCAGAGAGTTCCACTGCTGAACGGCTCTCACAGTCAGGAAGTTCTTCCTCATGTTCAGATGGAATCTCCTTTCTGTAGTTTGAAGCCATTGTTCCGTGTCCTAGTCTCCAGGGTAGCAGAAAACAAGCTTTCTCCCTCATCCCAGGCATAATCACACAGAAAATGTCAGGTTTTACAATGTATTGAAATGTAATATAGCTGAGTCATGCACTGCTAATGGGCTTCTATTGGAAATTCTGAGTCATGCATTAACTGTATATAGAACTTCATTTGGGGAATGTGTTCTGGCCTAGTCCAGGTGATTGTGAATGATGTAATCCTGGGTCTGAGTTAAGTTAATGAGTTGGGAACCAATCAGAGATTGCTATGTGTAATTGTATAGAATTGTATATAAGGAAGTCATGTACAGTGTATATCTCTCCTTGTGCTGTGATGTTGTTCGTCGAAGGCTATATGTAATTAAAGAACCTGTCTGCTAAGACAAGATATAACTGTATGCTGTGGTAAGTTTGTAATATCATCTAGACTGGGGGAAAGACAATGGTAAAACTGACAATGGCCGGGCATGTGCTCAAGTGTCTGTAAAAGGTTCCAGCGTGGCTGCAGGCTGTGGGAGCAGTTGACTGAAAATACTGTGCAGGAAGAAGCTACTGGAAAGCGCTGAAGTTGTGCAACTGATCTGCTGCTGAATTGTGAAGTTAATCTCAACATATTTTATTTGCTATCATATGCCCTCTCAGCCTTCTCTTCTTCAGGCTAAACATGCCCAGCTCCTTAAGCCGCTCCTCATAGGGCTTGTTCTCCAGACCCTTGATCATTTTAGTCGCCCTCCTCTGGACACATTCCAGCTTGTCAATATCTCTCTTCATTTGTGGTGCCCAGAATTGGACACAATATTCCAGGTGTGGTCTAACCGTTTGAGAACGGTTGCTCTTTTTCACTTTGCTTTATGTGACTGTATTGCAACTATTATGTTTGAGAGAGGTTGCTCCTTCTCACTTTAATTTGTGTAACTGTACTGAACTGTGTACTGAATATTTATTTATTTATTTATTTATTATTTGAACTTATATGCCGCCACTCCCCTGGGGCTCGGAGCGGCTTACAAGAACAGGCTAAAATCGAACACAATTTAAAACAATTTAAAAACAATCAGAGATCAAAGGCCCGTCGAAACAGATATGTCTTACATGCCCTGCGGAAAGCTGATAAGTCCCGCAAGGCACGGACTTCAGGTGGCAGAGTATTCCAGAGTGATGGTGCCACTGCTGTGAAGGCTCTGCGTCTGGTTGCTGTTAGGCGCAAGGTCTTGACACTGGGAATTTCCAATAGATCTTGGTCCTCAGAACGGAGGGATCTCTGGGGTTGGTAGGGATATACTTTATGCTCCTTGAGTATTATTTTTTCCTTACATAGACTATTTGTGTGTATTTTGACATCCTACAAGTATTCTGGGACAGTGTATAGTAATACACAGGATGAGCGAGACAAGCGGAGAGCAAGAACTGCAAATCCTTTTGGATGCCTTTATTAACAACTTGGCTTACAATTCTTCAAGTAGAAAGATTTAGGTTCCTTTTTGAATAAAAATTAAAATATAACTCTGAATATAGATTCTTCCCCCCTGCCGTTATTTACATGAAATCATATATACAGATCCATATACACATCCACGGGATACAATCTTGTATATAAGAATTAACAAACATGCCTCACTGACTTCCATCCAGCAAATATTAAATGCCAGCATTCCTCTTGGTTTCTTGAAGATTTTGAACCTTCTAATGGACCTCAAATTGTAACTTGCTATGCTGTGTAACAGAATGCCAAACTGTTCGTAAATATAGGTATCCTTGGAAAGAAGGGTCCATATCTTAGATTCCATGCCAGGAGATTGATATAGACCAGGCATGGGCAAAGTTTGGTCCTTCAGGTGTTTTGGACTTCAACTCCCACAATTCGTAACAGCCTCAGGCCCCTTCCTTTCTGAGGGGGAAAAGGAAAGGGCCTGAGGCTGTTACGAATTGTGGGAGTTGAAGTCCAAAACACAGTGAATTGTGTGAGTTGGAAGTCCCAAACACACTGAAGAGCATAGACTCTTGATCCGTAGTTTATGAGCTTCCTTGTATCTTGAGTCCTTATCTTCTACAATGGTCATCTTTATAATTTTTGGTCGATTCAGCATCACTCTAGTTACTTATTAAGTTTGTTCTCTCTTAGGAGAATGTGGAGCCAGGGTGGTCAGTTGGCATACTGGGCATAGAAGGCTAGTTTGACCCGTTCAATCTGGTGGCAGAGTTTGATGGCAGGGCCAAGCTTCAGGTCCATGCATTCCTGAACTGTTGGAAGGGTCAGCAGAAGCAGAGCTTGGCCATCAATATCCTGCAGGTGGGAAAAGAAATTTAAAAAGAGCTTCATTTTCAAAATTCCATCATTGAAACCACTTACTTTTAGGGTAAGGTTTTATTTCCCACATATATGTGATTGATTTACAATAAAAGTATAGGATTTGGGGGGAAATATTTTTGTGAGTTGGTTAAAAACCCACCAATTAGTTTTCATACTCTGAGCCAGAGAACAGTTTTTCAGTGAAATCATACTCAATTTATAATATGTCTGAATACTTTAAACCGAATAGGTGTTTTAGTGCTAATTTTGAGCTCTGGGAACATTACTGCTTCATGTTTTCAACTATACAATGAGGGGATGATGATGATGACGGTGATGATGATGATGATGATGATGATGATTATTATTACTATTTGAACGATTCTATTAGCATTGCCTCTAAAAAAAATCCTACAAATCTCTTGGGAAGACAGGCGGACAAATGTCCATGTGCTGGAAGAAGCAAAGACCACCAGCATTGAAGCGATGCTCCTACACTGTGCTGTCACACGCTGGGCCTGTAGCTGTTGTCTATTAACAGGACGTGATTTTTATGTGCCCAGCGGGATGCCAGGGTGCCTCGGCTGAGAGGCCCTATGAATTTCCCTATACAAAGTCTTTAGAAGCTTGGAAGGTTTAACAAAGTTCTTTATTGGTGCGACAAATCAGTCAAATACTTCTTTTATCTTCAACAAATAAACCAAATATTTCTTAACTTGTCCACAATGGACAGGCAACTAGCTTCATGAACTGTTTCTTTCTTCTATGAGGGAAATCCTTTCGACCCCTCCCTGGGCAATCTGTCTTTTAGGTTTCGCTGGCATGGGGCCCTACTCCCAGTTCCAGTTTGCTTTATGAGTACCCGAGTAGATCTTAACAGCTAAAACTCTGAAGATTTTCCAGCTGGAGTCCTTTGGATTTTTTCCACAAATGCTGTGGATCTGTTTCTTTAACCCCAACAAAGTCTGTACTGCAATTCTTAGTAAAGTTGTGAGAATTGTCTTCCCCAGCCAAGCTTGTAAGAAACGAAGCTTTTCTACAGGAGGGAAAAACTCACACATTGGGCTTCAAACTGTAAGACTGAACAAACTGTCCCCTTTCCCTCCTGAACCTGGGGGAAAGGGCGGTTCCAAAAGCCCCAACGATGATAGGCAGGCTGCTAGCCTATGACTGCAGCCTGGGGAAAGCTGCTTAACTGCAAAATGCCTGGCTAACAGAAACATGTGCAAACTAACCATGCATAGAAAAAGAAAATTTAGCTTCTGGCACAGCTGTGCCAGCACATACGCCATCAACTCCGCTGGACTGGCCATGTTGGCCAAATGCCTGATCACCATCTCCCAAAGCAGTTACTTTGCTCCCAACTCAAAAACTGGAAATGTAATGTTGGTGGAAAAGAAAAGAGATATAAAGATGGGCTTACAAACCTTAAAAACTGTGGCATAGACACCGAGAACTGGGAAGCCCTGGCCCTTGATTGCTCTAACTGGAGGTCAGCTGTGACCAGCAGTGCTGCAGAATTTGAAGAGGCATGAATGGAGGGTGAGAGGGAGAAACATGCCAAGAGGAAGGTGCGTCAAGCCAACCCTGACTGGGACAGCCTTCCACCTGGAAACCAATGTCCTCACTGCAGGAGAACATGCAGATCAAGAATAGGGCTCCTACGGACCCACCACCAAGACACTACACTTGCCGAGGACCATCATCCTTGGGCTACAAGGGATCGCTTAAGTAAAGTATTTGATACACAACAAGATGAGTACACAGCAAATAAAATTACTATGCTGGCTTTTGTATTTGACCACACATTGGAAACTTCCCAAGTGTCTAGAACTGTGTGATGTATCAGCAAATAATGCGTGCAGATCTTATTATTATTATTATTATTATTATTATTATTATTATTATTAACATAACAAGATGAGTCCACAGCAGCTGTTGTATTGGATCACACAGCAGCTGTTGTATTGTTGCTGGCTGTTGTATTGGATCACCCATCGAACACTTCCCAAGTGTCTAGGACTCTGTGATGTATCAGCAAATAATGTATGCAGATCAAAGTAGGATGGCCTTTTGCAGCTGACAGGTGGTAATGTTGTCAGCGCTGATTGTTTTTAAGTGCAGGCCAAGGTCTTTAGGCACTACATCCAGTGCACTAATCACCACTGGGACCACCTTTACTGGTTTTTGCCAGAGTCTTTGCAGTTCTATCTTTAAATCCTCATATCGTGTCATCTTTTCCAGATTATTATTATTATTATTATTATTATTATTATTATTATTATGCTTTTCTCCCTAGATTAAGATCCAAAGTGATTCACCAATTAAAATAATAATACAATTAAAATATTCAAAAAGGCAGTATTAACATATAATTAAACCAATTACTATATTAAAACAATTCAACTCTTTACAATGCAATTAAAAAGACAAAAGACATGTGAGTGGGTAATGTGGATATAATCCACAAAGGAAAAGGAGCTTTGGAATAATGATACAAGACACTGAAAACTCACAAGCAAGATTCACATTAATGAGCAAACTTAGTGTCAACTTAGTCTAAACTGCAATAATTACAATCATGAAACCTTGGAATTTTTGACACAGAGAAGAGGCAGTGAAATGAAACAATGTACCTGTTCCTGAAATATTTTGGCAAGAGGAGCACAATCCGTGAGCTTGATGAACCTCACCACGTCTGATACAGTCCATCCCAAGGGGTTCGTCTCCAGAATGAGCTTTTCGTCTGGCTCTTGCTTTATTTCCTACAATGACAAAAATGGCACTACTGAACCAGAAGGGAACTTCTGTATTATCTTGTCTATTCTCATCCTATTATCAAATATACCATCCTAACCAGCTCTCTCTGTCAGCTCCAGCTCCCCATGTGGGGACATGAGAGAAGCCTCTCACAAGGATGGTAAAACATCAAAACATTGGGGAGTCCCCTGGGCAATGTCCTTGTAGACAATTCTCTCATACCAGAAGTGACTTACAGTTTCTCAAGTTGCTCCTGACACACACACACACACACACACAACCTCACAAAAAAAAACCAGTAATATTTCCAAACCAACCTGCTTTTTTGAACAATATATACTCTGTAAAATGGAAGAGGTCAATGTCCATACCTACGGTAGTTATTGTTGCACTCCCATCAGCCCCATCCCACCCAGACAGTCGTGAGGACTTCTGGGAACTGATGTCTAGCAACATCTGGAGGACCTTATTCTCATCTTTTCTCCAGACAATATTCTCACTGCAGTGCTAAATTATTTTTAAATCATGCTGCAGATGGAAAAAAAATGTTTTTTCAGGTGTTTGAAGACTTGATTCTTGAGCTAACAGTGGGATGGATCCAAAGCTTATTGTACTCTGAAGGAAGACCATTCCCTACCAGATGAAGGATCAAATTGGACATCAGTAGTGTTCAAATGTTCATTTTCCCCCAACCCCACCATGGTTTTGTTTTCTTCTTTTCAGTTGTCTTGAGTGTTTCTGAAGGGCAGATTAGATCACAGGTTCTGCCTTTGAGGAAAGGGGGCTAGCTACACATTCAGTTTGCTAAATTTTGTTCAAGAAGCTCCTGTTCCATCACTGCCAGAAATATGTCAAGGGAAAGGGGCATTAGGTCCAGGGACACTCCTTCTGCCTGCCCAATTGGATACAAATGGCTTATCTATGTTGAAGGGCTAACTAGCTGGTCTTGGTGGCAAGAAGGGGTAGTTGGCAAGTAGGAGACTTGCCAGGATGAGCAGGAAAGAAATCTGGATTCCTTGGCTGAGTGGGGATGATTTTTTTCATGTCAGGAGCAACTTGAGAAACTTGAGAATGTTGCTTTTGGTGTGAAAGAATTGGCTGTCTGCAAGGATGTTGCCCAGAGGATGCCCAGATGTTTTACCATCCTGTGGGAAGCTTCTCTCATGTTCCTGCATGAGAAGCTGGAGCTGACAGAATTTATTTATTTATTTATTTAGACCATTTCTACCCCGCCCTTCTCACTCCCGAGGGGGGACTCAGGGCAGTTAACACAGGCAACAATTCAATGCCAACAGTATCAAAACAACAATATAAAACAGCAATATAAAATCCATTACATAACAATTAAACAGTGATATTAATTAAAATTACATAACCACATAGAACAGATCACAGAATCACAGGTCATAAAGCCATTTCCAATTTTCAAACAATCCTATTGTCCGAGTTCAGTGCCTAAAGTGCTGCTGTGCCCACTAGCCAAAGGCCTGGCTCCAAAACCACGTCTTTAGTTTTTTCCTAAAAGTAAGGAGGGAGGACGCCGATCTAATCTCGCTGGGGAGCAAATTCCATAAGCAGGGGGGTCACCACCGAGAAGGCCCTGTCCCTCGTCCCCACCAGACATGTTTGAGACGCTGGTGGGACTAAGAGCAGGGCTTCCCCAGTAGATCTTAAATTACGAGGTGGAATGTAGAGAGATACGTTCGGATAAGTAAGCTGGGCTGGAGCCGTATAGGGTTTTATAGGCCAAAACCAGCACTTTGAATTGTGCTCGGAGGTGGACCGCCAGCCAGTGGAGCTGACGCAGCAGGGGGGTGGTATGCTCCCTGTATGGCGCTCCGGTGAGTAATCTGGCTGCTGCCCATTAGACTAGTTGAAGTCTCCGAACAGTCTTCAAAGGCTATCCCACGTAGAGTGTGTTGCAGTAATCTATTTGGGATGTAACTAGAGCATGGGCCACCTTGGCCGAGTCAGACTTCCCACGGTACGGGCGCAACTGGCGCACAAGCTTTAACTGTGCAAAAGCTCCCCTGGCCACCGCCGAGACCTGGGGTTCCAGGCTCAGTGATGAATCCAGGATCACTCCCAAGCTGCGAACCTGCGTCTTCAGGGAGCTCACTCCGCTCCCCGGATTTGAACCACCGACCTTTCAGCAGCCCTGCTGGCACAAGGATTTAACCCGCTGCACCGCTGCGGGCTCCTGACAGGAAAGGTAAAGCAGTGAGAATATCCTGGAAATGGACTGTGAAAGGCAAGTGCAGCATGAATTGGCCAGTCAGATGCAGCTTTCCAGCATTACCCAAATCCGCATCAGCCAGGTGCAGTTGCCCTTTTCCTTTCACTAATTTCTCCTTATTACAGGGGCTTTGTATAAGTCAAAGAGCAGGACCCACAGCATTCCCTCTTTGCTTTCTCCCATCATATTTCTAACGATTAAGTGACAGCTCTTTGAGAAAACCTCAGCTGACCCTGGATGTGTAGTTAGCCCCCTTTTCCTTCTATCCCCCATTTATTATGTATATGTAAATACAGGTATTCCCAAAATTGAAAAAAAAAACTCTGAAAAACCTCTGGCATTAAGGACGACCCAACCTAATGAAAATTAAATTATCTCCCAACTCTATTTTCAAAGCTACTTGTAAAACTAACACACACCTCCTGAGCACTGTCTCTCCATTCATAAATATTTTTGAGTTCTTTTCAGGCATGAAATCTGAGTCTAGTTAATTTCACTACCTCTTTGACTTGCAAGGGACTAGGAAGCAGGTATAATCAATGATTAGTGCAGGAATTAATGGTCTGGTCCATCTCCCATACAGTTAACACGATGCTAAGCTGGGCTGTTAAGGGGTAAAATGTTGTAATTGCTTTTCAGTGAAATTTCAGAAATTACTGTCTATATAATTATGGTGCGGTTTTAATGGAACAATGAGATTTATTGGACAATGACTCCAATAGAACATAAATGTAGGAATAGTTTCTAGCATGTGCAGTATGCCCAAGGGCTCTCTCGCAGGCTGTGGAGAGACTTAATTCAAGCCCTTTTCTCTTCAATTCAGAATGGCCTGGAGCCATGAATATAAATCAATGGAGAATGGTCAGCCTTCTCCCCATTAATAGCTGCCTCGATGTAAAATAACTATTATATTGTTAAATGGAGAGCTTTAACCACATCATTTAGTGCCCAGTAGCTTGGATGCATGGCTTCGCTTCCTGACACTCACATAATTGCAATATTAGTTTAAACAAAAATCAAAACACATAACGATGTGTGTGCATGTATTAAACACACACATACTCATACAAAATGTTATGTTGTACAACAAGTAATACATTATGAAACAGGATAGGTTAAAGGAAATATTTACATATTTATAGTGCCAGCACGGTATAGTTATTGGGGATTGGATTGGATCTATACCAGTGGTTCTCAACCTTCCTCATGCCGTGACCCCTTAATACAGTTCCTCATGTTGTGGTGGCCCCCCAACAATCAAATTAATTGTTGTTACTTCATAACTGTCATTTTGCTACTGTTACGAATCGTGATGTAAATATCTGATATGCAGGATGTATTTTCATTCACTGGACCAAATTTGGCACAAATACCCGATATGCTCAAATTTGAATACTGGTGGGGTTGGGAGGGGATTGATTTTGTCATTTGGGAGTTGTAGTTGCTGGGATTTATAGTTAACCTAATCAAAGAGCATTCTGAACTCCACTAACAATGGAATTGAACCATACTTGGTACACAGGACTCCCATGACCAAGAGAAAATACTGGAAGGGTTTGGTGGGCATTGACCTTGACTTTTGGAGTTGTAGTTCTCATACATCCAGAGAACACTGTGGACTCAAACAATGATGTATCTGGACCAAACTGGGCACGAAAACTCAATATGCCCAAATGTGAACACTGGTGGAGTTTGGTGAATATACACCTTGAGATTTGGGAGTTGTAGTTGCTGGGATTTATAGTTCACCTGCAATCAAAGCGCATTCTGAACCCCACCAACAATAGAATTGGGCCAAACTTCCCACACAGAACCCCCATGACAACAGAAAATACTGTGTTTTCTGATGGTCTTTGGCGACCCCTCTGACACCCCCTCGCGCCCCCTCCAGGGGTCCCGACCCCCAGGTTGAGAAACGCTGATCTATACCCATTGGGGGTATAGATTATGAACTGTTAGGATCACTACCTAATCGGGGTAGCAGAGTTTATTTGGTAATGGACAATCGCTGGGCACGTAGATATTTTGTTTCCAATTGATGCCTTCAGCGGACAATGATGCAAGCAGACTTCTTATAAAGATAACATGTTTGTTTACTGATAACTTCTATAGTTGCTGAAGATGCTATAGAAGAGGCCAAAACATCTCCAGCAAGCTCTCCTGCTCTTGACTTTGGGGCTCCTCATGAGGAAGACTACAACCCCAGGTGTTCTGTCACGCACTGGGCCTGTAATGAATTGCTTTCAAAATAGGACGTGCAACTTTTGCCCAGCGGGAAGCAAGGGCCCCCCCCCGAAGAGAAGTTCTCAAGGATTTTCCACCACAAATGGTCTTTAGATGGCTTGTGAAGTATAACAAAGTCCTTTATTAATGAACAATCAAACGGAAACTTCTCTTGTCTTCAATAAAGTTAAACAAATGCTTCCAGGCTTTATGCAACTGGTGGCTTCCTTAATCTTGCCCACGAGGGACAGGCAATTGTCTTTAATAACTGTTTCTTTACTTTAAAGGAAAATCCCCTTTTTAACTTCTCCCAGGCTGACTGTAATCTAAGCCTTACTGATGTGGGCTCCCTACCGGGTCGAACTGCGTCTCGAGCACCGAGTGGACCTACCAGTAAGGCCAGTAGATTCTCCAGCTGGAGTTCTTTGGTCTTCCAAGCTGTTTACCCTCCGAAATTCCTCAAAGCTCTAGGGCTGTTTCCCTGGAAATCTTTGGATGCTCTTAAGACTGTTCTCCCCCAGAAAATCTCTAGGGTTGAAGCTTTTTTACGTCCTCTAAATTAGTTTTCCTTACTGAGACTAATTAAAAATGGCTCCCTTCCCTTCCCAATTGCCCTGAACAAGAGGCGGAACCAAAACTTAATGATGATGGACAAGTGACTTGCCCTACGACTGCAACCAAAGGAAGTCACCTTTCTGCAGAATCCCTGAAACCTTGGACTGCAAGCAAACATTTAATACAAAACAAATAAAGTTGGAACTCCTGGTACAGCTGTACCAGCACACCAGGCCATTTCCAGCTAGGAGTGACTAACTGTGACGCAGCTGGCTGGGAGTCAGCTGCATTAAGATCACTATTGACCGAAAGGTCATGAGTTCGAAGCCAGCTTGGGTCAGAGTGAGCTTCCGACCAATTTGTGTAGCTTGTTGTCAACCTTTGCAGCCTGAAAGACAGTTGCATCTGTCAAGTAGGAAATTTAGGTACTGCTTATGCGGGGAGGCTAATTTAACTAATTTACGATGCCATAAAAATCTCCAGCAAATGCAAAGAATGAGGAAGTACTTCATCAGTGTCACAAATGGACGGTGAAGCGACAGCTCCCCTGGTGGCCAGAAGCTGGAATGTTAAATAGCCTCTGGGTGTCTGTCTATATATGTTGTGTGTCCATGGCATTGAATGTTTGCCATGTATATGTACATTGTAATCCACCCTGAGTCCCCTGCAGGGTGAGAAGGGCGGAATATAAATACTGTAAATAAATAAATAAACACACACATATCCATACACAAACACACACACTGATGAGTACTGGTAAATTCTGCAATTTATTAATATGAGATGGAAGTTTATAATGCTCAGGAGGAGGAGAAAGGAGGAGGAGGAGGAGGAGGAGGAGGAGGAGGAGGTGGTGAAGCCAACCCCAACCGGGACCACCTTCCACCTGGAAGCCAATGCCCTCACTGCGGGAGAAAATGCAGATCAAGAATAGGGCTCCACAGTCACCTACGGACCCACCGCCAGTACACTGATCCTGGAAGACTATCCTACTCGGACAACGAGGGATCGCATAAGAAGAAGAAGAAACCTTAAGTTGGAAATGACTTGAAGGCACACAATAAGAAAAAAAAGCATGGTTAAAGATTGCGAGTCATTTCTATCTTTAGTAAAGAAGAAAGAAAAGTGGGTTGTGGATTTTGACGACTGGGTATTATTGATTGATTATAAGACCAAAGTTTAAATATTAGTCAAGTAATAAGGAGAAGTATGTTATACTTTAATACTTTTGGGGAAGAGCCTATATGAAGTTTTCTCAAATTCACAAATAGCATCCTGTAATGACCACAACTTGGATATATACTTCTTTAGAGAATTTCCCTCCAGGCAACATGCTAGAAAGTATAGTCAAAAAAGGCACCACTACTAGATAATAAGCTTTAGACTGGAGGGATATGAAAAGCTTCTGAAAGGTGAGACACTCACTTGTTTAAACCGAGCCCTCTTCTCTTCTTTGGCGTGCAAGAGGGACAATGCCTTCTGTGCTCTTCTTCCTCTCTCGGAGTGAGGGACTCGGTCCATATCGGCACTGCTGCGCAACTTCATTGTGCTTGTAGACTTTGTTGGAGGCAGGTCTGAGGAAGAGGTGTCCACCTGGTCAGTGTGTGCATCTGGGCTGGTCTCCTCACTCCAAGTCTCATCATCCAGAGCCTCTGAGTCTTCCTCATCACTCTCCTGTAATAAAGACATGCTCATGATGAACCATGGCGAAACAGCTTCAATAAGAAACAAAGTAATTGAACAAATTAGGAAGATTTGTGTGCTTGAGTTGATCATTTCTGTGGAACAATGGCTTCAAACTACAAGAAAGGAGATTCCATCTGAACATAAGGAAGAACTTCCTGACTGTGAGAACTGTTCAGCAGTGGAACTCTCTGCCCCGGAGTGTGGTGGAGGCTCCTTCTTTGGAAGCTTTTAAACAGAGGCTGGATGGCCATCTGTCAGGGGTGATTTGAATGCAATATTCCTGCTTCTTGGCAGAATGGTGTTGGACTGGATGGCCCATGAGGTCTTCTCCAACTCTTTGATTCTATGATTCTATGATCTGATTAACTGGGTTTCAGTTCATTAACAACAATCCGGTAGAATCATAGAATCATAGAGTTGGAAGAGAACTCATGGGCCATCCAGTCCAACCCTCTGCCAAGAAGCAGGAAAACTCCATTCAAAGCACCCCCTAAAGATGGCCATCCAGCCTTTGCTTAAAAGCCTTCAAAGAAGGAGCTTCCACCACACTCCAGGGCAGAGAGTTCCACTGCTGAACAGCTCTCACAGTCAAATGGCCAAACATCAAGGTCCTCCATATCATTAAGGTAAAGGAATCATGTTGGGGGCAGGTCAACACCTCTTCATTTTTGTGTTTTGGCTTAGGCATCAAAATGCCTTATGACCAGTCTTAGCAAAAAAGAAAAATAAAAGCACGAAAGAAATATCAACTAGGAAACTAAGAGAGTCAGAAAGTTATTGAGGAAGTTATAGTTTTAGTGTGCCTTCATGTCTCTTATGATCGATAGTGACCTTAAGTTGAACCTATCATGATGTTTTCTTGACAAGATTTGTTCAAAAGGGGTTTGTTTTTATCTTCCCCTGAAGCTGAGAGAATGTGACCTGCCCACGGTCACTTAGTGGGTCTCCATGGATGAGCAGAGTCTCCAGAGTTGTAGCCCAACACTCACATTGACACATTACTTTGGTTTGTCAAATATATAATTGGGTTGTTGTAGGTTTTTTTGGGCTATATAGCCATGTTCCAGAGGCATTTTCTCCTGACGTTTCGCCTGCATCTATGGCAAGCATCCTCAGAGGTAGTGAGGTCTGTTGGAAGTGGGAAAATGGGTTTATATATCTGTGGAAGGACCAGGGTGGGACAAAGGACTCTTGTCTGTTGGAGCTAGGTGTGAATGTTTCAACTGACCACCTTGATTAGCATTTGATGGCCTGGCAGTGCCTGGGGAATCTTTTGTTGAGAGGTGATTAGATGTGCCTGATTGTTTGCTCTCTGTTGTTTTGCTGTTGTAATTTCAACAGAGAGTAAACAATCAGGCACATCTAATTACCTCTCAACAAAAGATTCCCCCATGCACTGCCAACAGAGAGTAAACAGAGAGTAAACTGTTGAGAGAGTAAACAATCAGGCACATCTAATCACCTCTCAACAAAAGATTCCCCCAGGCACTGCCAAGCTATCAAATGCTAATTGAGGAGATCAGTTGAAACATTCACACCTAGCTCCAACAGACAAGAGTCCTTTGTCCCACCCTGGTCCTTCCACAGATATATAAACCCATTTTCCTAGTTCCAACAGACCTCACTACCTCTGAGGATGCTTGCCATAGATGCAGGCGAAACATCAGGAGAAAATGCCTCTAGAACATGGCCATATAGCCCGAAAAAACCTACAACAACCCAGTGATTCTGGCCATAAAAGCCTTCGACAATAAAAATGTAATTATTTTTACTAACCTGTCCTATACCATATACTGTTGTGCCATGTGACATATCATTACATGCATTTATGATTTTGGTTTACAATAAAATTGCAATTAAGTGAGCAAGGGGAAATGAAGTCATAAATCTGTTGGGCTAAATGATACGGTTAAAGCTTTCCAGTTACTTTAGACTGCTACATTGATGGTATTCAAACCACTACACTACAGCATTCTGCCTGGGAGGTGATATATAAATACTTGAAATGAACAATAAAATAATAATTTAAATACATTTAGCACAAATCTATCCAATTTCAACCAACCGAAACCATATACACATTAAAAAGAAACAAAAAGCAATTTACAAAAAGGCTGGCAGCATAGGATTTGTTGAGACTACACAAATAAATGTGTAACTTGAGAGGCAAAGTCAGATGCAGGTGAAGGCCAGCTGGTCATAAATTAGAACACTGAGTGAAGACAGATAAAAACAACAGTAAGTAAGCCAGATGTGCTCACAGGTGTGCCATCTGCTTCAATGGTCAAATAAGAAAATCCCTTGAGGAGTAGGTTGATAAATGTATAAATTGCTATTTGTTTCCTTCTAACACAGAAATGGGCAAACTTTGGCCCTCCAGATGTTTTGGACTTCAACTCCCAATTCCTAACAGCCGGTAGGCTGTTAGGAATTGTGGGAGTTGAAGTCCAAAACATCTGGAGGGCCAAAGTTTGCTCATGCCTGTTTTAGCATATGCAGTGCAACCCCTGTATCTGCTGGATGGATATCTGTGGTTTCATTTACTTATCTTGATTTAAGTCATTAGCGTGCTGGCTGATATCCAAACAAGGGATGAGCTGGAGTTGTCACTGCCTTGGTCCTTTCACTATTGGTTGCTACTTCCTGGCGGATGTCAGGTGGTGCAATACCTGCTAGACAGTGTAATTTCTCCAGTGGTATAGGGCGCAGACACCCCGTGATAATGCGGCATGTCTCATTAAGAGCCACATCCACTGTTTTAGTGTGGTGAGATGTGTTCCACACTGGGCATGCGTACTCAGCAGCAGAGTAGCATAGCGCAAGGGCAGATGTCTTCACTGTCTGATTGTGATCCCCAGGTTGTGCCAGTCAGCTTTGCATGATATTGTTGATACGCACCCACTTTTTGCTTGATATTCAGGCAGTGCTTCTGTAGGTCAGAGCACTCCAAGACTTAAATCAAGAAATAGTTTTCTAAGATCTACAGAGAAACTCACTGGAATACCTCAGCAAGCGAGAGTCCAAAAGTGGCAGGCTAAAACCCAGAACCTCAATCAATGGCTGATACCAAATGAGAGACTCCCTCCTGGGCACACAGAAGATTGGGTGACTTGGAAGGCGCTGAACAGACTGCACTCTGGCACCACGAGATGCAGAGCCAACCTTAAGAAATGGGCTACAAAATGGAACATGAGAGTATGGAGAAGAGCAAACCATTGACCACCTACTACAATGCAACCTGAGCCCTGCCACATGCACAATGGAGGACCTTCTTATAGCAATGCTAGGGACACTCCAAGTGGTCAGCTACTGGTCAAAGGACATTTAATAGAATACCAAGTTTGCAAACTTTGTGTATTTTTTAAAATACAATACAACTGTCTGGTTCGCTCCTGACACAATAAATAAATAAAAAAATAAAAAAATAAATATTTATTTATTTAAAACATTTGTATTCCGCCCTTCTCACCCCGAAGGGGACTCAGGGCAGAGCACAGCATATATACGGGCAACATTCAATGCCGGGACAAGAATTCATTATATGCATACATAAACATTAAAAACATTTATCTCAGTATTAAAATACATTGTTTAAAATTGTCTTGGTCATCTGCATCAAATCTAATTTGCCTGGTAAAGTTGACTATCGCTGCTTTATGGCCATCTCCTGAAAGCTTGGTCCCACAGCCAAGTTTTTACCATCCTTCTAAAGGACAGGAGGGAGGGGGCCAATCAGATCTCACCAGGAAGGGAGTTCCATAGCTGGGGTGCAATCACTGAGAAGGCCCTCTCTCACGTCCCCACCAATCATGCCTGTGACAATGGCAGGACAGAGAGCAGGGGTTCTTAATCTTAATCTCCGTGATGGTTCATAGGGGGAGATGCGTTCGGACAGGTAAATTGGGCCGGGGCCCTTTAGGGCTTTATAGGCCAAAGCCAGCACTTTGAAATGTGCCTGGTAGCATACTGGCAGCCAATGAAGCTGGTGTAACATAGGAGTTGTTACATTTATTTTGCTTTGTTGTTGTTGTTGTTGTTGTTGATGTATTTGGGCTCGGCCTCTTGTAAGCCGCACTGAGTCCTCTGGGAGATGGTAGCGGGGTATAAATAAAGGATTATTATTATTATTATTATTATTATTATTATTATTATTATTATTGTATGCTCCCTATATGCCGCCCCAGTTATTAACCTGGCTCCCTCTTGTTGGACTATTTGAAGCTTCTGAGCAGTCTTCAAAGGCAATCCCACATAGAGTGTGTTGCAGTAGTCTATCCTGGATGTAACAAGAGCATGGACCACTGTGGCCAAGTCTGACTTTCCAAGGTACGGGAACAGCTGGCACATAAGTTTTAATTGTGCAAAAGCTCCCCTAGCCACTGCCGTAACCTGGGATTCCAGGCTCAGCTATGAGTCCAGGAGAACTCCCAAGCTGTGAACCTGTGCCTTCAAGGGGAGTGTAACCCCATCCAGCACAGGCTATGACCCTATACCCTGTTCAGCTTTGCGACTGATCAGGATTTACTTATCTCACAAAGTATGTCCTCCCCAGACCTTTTCTAGGTCCTCCAGCTCAATCCTATGATATTTTTAACATGTAGGTCCTTCAGCACAATAGGATTGGCTAATATTAGCTGTGGTTTTGCATATCCACACGAAGTCCTGGGATGTGACTCTCATGGATATGGGGGTCATGCTGTATATATTTTTGACTGATGTATATTTGTATGGACTAAACCATCAAAAACAGAGCAATCGCTACCATGTGATTCCCTTTGTATCACTTGAGGACTCTACCATCTGATTTATGACTCATTCTATTCTATGGGTTGATCTCCTGGAGAAGAAAGATCCGAACTTCACCTCTGCAGATTCTGTTGGGTTGAAATCCGTTGCGGACGACCGCCTCTTCCTGTGCACCAAGATGAGTTTCCGCCTCTTCCTCTGCCTGCCTGGCTTGCCTTCTCGGTTCACCAGGCTGCGCAGGCTGTCCTTCTCATTAGCTGGAGGCTTAATGACTTTCCTCCTCCTTCCATCGTAACAAGCTGGAACAAAATGTGAACATCAAAACCTGGTTAGCTACCAAACCACACAAAGCCTGGGGAGCTAATTTAGGCAGAAGCCGCAGGATGCAATTACTTCAAAACAACATCGAGAGAGTGGTTGCAGTCATCGTTCCTAGAAAAAAGCTGATCTGTGCTTAACAGCTGTTTACTATTGATCTGCACATCTCTAGAGAAAACCTCATTTTGGTCAAACTGAACAACACTTAACAAAACATAACATTTTGTGTTAGCATGATCCTCAGCCCAGCTACTCCCACTCAACCTTTCTTAGAGCCTTGTCCTGTTGGGAACATAAGAAGAGCCATACAGTGAAAGGCTGGGTCGTGTAGTGATTAGATTATTGGACTTGCACATGGACATCATGATACTGTTTTACCTGCTGTGAAAGATGGGGCGATATCTATGGCCAAAGTGTTGCAGTGATGGAATTACAATGCCCAGAGATGCCGACATTTCTGAAGCTCAAGGGGATGGTAATGAAAGTCATCTCCATCAGGAGAGAAAGCTGATCTGTTGGTTCCTGAACCCTTCAAGAGCAAGCAGAACAGCTTTCTCTTCTGTAAGAGATATCTGATGTCCTTCCATCATTGTTGCATATTACTCTAAAAACATCTTGAAGTCATTGCTAACTGCCATCAAGCCAACTTCTGCTTATGGTGATCTTAGGAATGAGAGATCTCCAAGTCCACCTATTGCAAATTCAAGGTAACGTTGCTTTCTTGAGTCTAGATATCTGGAATGTGGACTTGCTCTTTTTCTACTGTCCTCCACTTTAGTATCTTTTCTAGTGAGTCCTGTCTTCACACGGTATGTCCAAAGTGCAACAGCCTCAATGTAGTAATCTTTGCATCTAGAAAGCATCCAGGATTGAATTGTTCTAGGCCCCATTTATTTGCCTTTTTAGCAATCCAAGGTATCCATAGAACTCTTATCCAACACTACATAGTAAATGAGATGATTTTCTTCCTATCAGCATTCCTCACTGTTCAGCCTTCGCAATCCTATTTGTGTGTGTGTGTGTCAGGAGCGACTTGAGAAACTGCAAGTCGCTTCTGGTGTGAGAGAATTGGCCATCTGCAAATATGTTGCCCAGGGGATGTTTTGATGTTTGACCATCCTTGTGGGAGGCTTCTCTCATGTCTCCACATAGGGAGATGGAGCTGACAGAGGGAGCTCATCCGTGCTCTCCTCGGATCGAAACCTTAGGTCTGTCGATTTTCAGTCTTTCTGGCACAAGGGTTTAACCCATTGCACCACTGGGGGTTCCCTATATAGAAATAGGTTCCTATATTGAAATAGGAATTAAGACAGCATGGAGAATCCCGACTTTCGTATTCAATGATATTATTATTATTATTATTATTATTATTATTATTATTATTATTATCACAACAAGATTAGTACACAGCAAACAAGATTTCTATGATGGCTGTTGTATTGGATCACAATTTATTATTATTATTATTATTATTATTATTATTATTATTATTATTTACACAACAGAATCTTGTCAAATTCCTTCATAGCTGTCCTTCCAAGTCCTCATCTTTTTCTGATTTCTTAACTTAACAGAGTATCATGATGGTATAACTCACTAAGCATATTTCCTCCTGATCCAGATTCAAGTCCTTACTCACTTATGAAGTCTACTGGATTTTATTTATTTGTTGTGTCAGGGCAACCAGTCAATTGTATTACATTTCTAACAGAACAAAACAAACAACAGACATGAGAGAAGCCGGGGGACATGAGAGAAGCCTCCTCGCAGGATTGCAAGATATCCGGGTGTCCCCTGGGCAACGTCTTCATAGACGACTGATTCTCTCACTCCAGAAGCGACCAGAAGTCTGCTGGATGGCCTTCAGACTGTTTTATTACACACAGTTGTTGTGAAAATAAAGTGACAACACTTTGTGAAGATAAGGTCTGAAACTCACTGGAGGAAAGAAGGTATATATAAATGTACCAGACCCATAATACCAGAAGAGACCCAAGGCCTATACAGTCCAACATTTGGTCAACATAAGCAGGCAATCTGCTGCTGATGGGAGATCCATAAGTAAGACAACAGAGCAATCTTGGGCAGATTCTCCCATTCTCCTGTCAAGATGGTCTTGCCCATCCCAACCATTTCCTAGAGAGGAGGGCACCCAATAAGTAACATTCTCCTGTCAAGATGGTCTTGCCCATCCCAACCATTTCCTAGAGAGGAGGGCACCCAATAAGTAACATTTCTTGCTGAATGCTCTACAGGTGAATTAGAAAGAACATTCAGTTGATTTTTACTCATTCCTTGGGTTACGTCCTAGTAAACTTCAGAAGAAGGAACCTGGGCAAATGATGGTCACCTTCCACATGGCAAATGCCAAGTTTGTGATCCATCGCATTGTTTTCAACACATACTTACCGTACTTAGTTTTGGTTTGAATGGTACAGTTCTCTGGGCAGGCTTCAGTAACAGGAACAGGGCTGAATAAATTCGGACAGCATTCCAACTTAGCACAAACCCTCCGGCAGAAATCCAGGACTTGATCAGATGTACGGACAATCTTGACGGTCGCTCTGTAGGTTTTCCCTCGGTATCTATTAGGGCAAGGAGCAATATGGCAACATTTACTATCCCAGGAACTCAGAACACAATAGATCAGTGTTTTTCAACCTGGGAGTCGGAACCCTGGGGGGCAGCGAGGAGGTGTCAGAGGGGTCGTTAAATCAGAAAACACAGTATTTTCTTTTGGTCATGGAGGTTCTGTGTGGGAAGTTTGGCCCAATTCTATCATTGGTGGAGTTGAGAATGCTCTTTGATTGTAGGTGAACTATAAATCCCAGCAACTACAACTCCCAAATGTCAAGTCTATTCTCCCCAAACTCCACCAGTGTTCACATTTTGGCATATTGAGAATTTGTGCCAAGTTTGATCCAGATCCATCATTGTTTGAGTCCACAGTGCTCTCTGGATGTATGTATGTATGTATGTATGTATGTATGTATGTATGTATTTCTCGCATTTCTATCCCGTCCTTCTCAACCCCTGAAGGGGGACTTAGGATGGCTTACAATGGGCCCTGTTACAAAGCCATTACATAACAAATTACAGTAATTAAAACCACAATTAAACATAAAAACATAATTAACAATACACAAGCCATCGTTAAAACAGTAAAACAGTCTCATCAGCCATATCATCTTTCCAGTCACATTCCCTTACAAGTGCTGCTTGCATCTATTGTCCAAAAGCCTGGTCCCAAAACTATGCCTTTAATTTCTTACAAAAAGCTAGGAGGGAGGTGGCCGATCTTACTTCAGTTGGGAGTGTGTTCCATAGGCAGGGGGTCACTGCAGAGAAGGCCCTAGAAACTACAACTGCAAAACTCAAGGTCAACGCCCACCAAACTCTTTCCAGTATTTTCTGTTGTTCATGGGAATTCTGTGTGCCATTTGGTTCAATTCCATCTGGTGGAGTTCAGAATGCTCTTTGATTGTAGGTGAACTATAAATCCAGCAACTACAACTCCCAAATGACAAAATCAATCCCCCCCCAACCCCACCAGTATTCAAAGTTTGGGCGTATTTCAGGTATTGGTCCAGTGAATGAAAATACATCCTGCATATTGGATATTTACATTACGATTCATAACAGTAGCAAAATTACAGTTATGAAGTAGCAACGAAAATAATGTTATGGTTGGGGGTCACCACAACATGTGGAAGTGTATTAAGGGGTTGTAGCATCAGGAAGGTTGAGCAACACTGCAATAGATGATTAATAAAAATCATAGACGCATAGAGTCGGAAGAGATCACAAGGACCATTCAGTCCAACCCCCTGTCATGCAGGAAATGAACAGTCAAAGCACCCCCAACAGATGGCCATCCAGCCTCTGCTCAAAAATCTGCAGAGAAAGAGACCCTACCATGTTCTGATGATTCTGGGAGTTACACACTAGAGATGCACATTCTCAATTATTACAGCCTTGTATGTGAGGACAAATAATAATTATGGTAGTTTTCTCCCCATTGAAGGAGAAAATGAATATTGTTGGTTCTCCCATCTAAGTAATAGCTTCAGTTAGCCTTGCTTAGTTTCCATGATCAGACAGAATCCAGTGTCTTTAGGGTATTAACAGGGAAAACTAGCTGATCCCTAACCCATCTAAAACACAGACATGTGCTTTTCACCTTAAGAACAGATAAGCATCCCGAGCTCTGAGGATGACCTGGGAAGGAATCCCACTGCAGCACACCCAAATACCCAGGAGTCACTCTGGACCGTTCGCTGACCTATAAGAAGCACTGCCTGAATATCAAGCAAAAAGTGGGTGCTAGAAACAATATCATACAAAGCTGACTGGCACAACCTGGGGATCACAACCAGACACAGTGAAGACATCTGCCCTTGTGCTAGGCTACTCTGCTGCTGAGTATGCATGCCCAGTGTGGAACACATCTCACACTAAAACAGTGGATGTGGCTCTTAATGAGACATGTCTGCGCCCCAAAATGGGGCTACAAAGTGGAATCCACGACATGCGAGTGTGGAGAAGAGCAGACCACTGACCACCTGCTGCAATGCAACCTGAGCCCTGCCACATGCACAAGGGAGGACCTTCTTGCGGCAACACCAGAGGCACTCCAAGTGGCCAGATACTGGTCAAAGGACATTTAATCAACTACCAAGCTTGCAAACTTTGTGTTTTGTTTGTTTGTTTAAAAATGCAATACAACTGTTTGGTTTGCTCCTGACATGATAGATAAATAAATAAATAAATAAATAAAGGCTATTAACTAGATACTTTTAACTAGAGATGACGGTTTCTCATGTCTCCCTTGAACCAAAGCTTGGAAAAGTTACTTATTCTGACTACAACCAGAATCCCTTTGTAGCAACACCGAGTAGGATATTTACTATTCCCTTCTTGTAATTAAAGAACTCTTGACAAGCCTCCAAGGAATCCAGGAACATACTGTGGATGTTGATTATTTAAAGAATCTCTTTCTTTCTCTGTATTCTCCACGGAGGTTTTCAAGGCACTCTGAGGAAAGTAGTTGTGAATTAAAAAGACTGCTGGGGTGAATTACGACACCCTAGATATCCATATTATTAACAGCATAATTGTTATTCCAGTGAGGCTTACATTTTGCCAGCTATCTTTAAGTAATAATAAAAGAACACATCAGGGCCCATTAACTGGAAGCACCGTAAGGCTTTAAAGTTCACTGGGTTTTGTGTCAGTTGCAGCATTAAAGATTCCACAAGTAAAACCCATTTTGCTTTTCTAATTAAATGTATTACATCTTAAAGCTAAAGGGGCAGGGATCAAAGATCTGTAAAATAATGGCCTACATAAGAGAACCTTTGAAGGGAAAACAAGACTAGATAGCCACGAATACAAAAAACGTATTGTTTGGGAGGGAAAGGGGGGGGGGATGTATAATTGGAACTGGTTGCTGATTCTGTGTACATCTTATGTGTGATACACTCAACATCGGGTTTCTAGAGCCAAAATGTGGCTCTCCATATTTATGGTGAATTTTATTATTCATGGATTAGATTCTCTTTAGATGTTCTCTCTCTCTCTTTTTGAACATAGAGAAAACCAAAGTGTTTTTCCAGCAGTCACCATCCAATCCCTCTCCAATGCCAGAAATACAGCTTAATGGTGTAACATTAGAAAATGTTGACTATTTCCACTACCTTGGCACCTCTCCACAAAAGTCAACACTGACACTGAAATACAACACTGCCTGAGCTCTGCGAGTGCAGCTTTTTTCCGAATGAAGCTGAGAGTGTTAGAGGACCAGGACATCCATAGGGATACCAAGGTGCTTGTTTATAAAGCTATTGTCCTCCCAAACCTGCTATATGCCTGCAAAACATGGACTATGTACAGATGTCACAATCAACTCCTAGAACGATTCCATCAGCACTGCCTCCAGAAAATCCTGCAAATATCTTGGGAAGACAGGTGGACAAATGTCAGCATGCTGGAAGAAGCAAAGACCACCAGCATTGAAGCGATGGTCCTCCACCATCAACTCTGGACCTGCCACATTGTCTCAATGACTGACCACTGTCTCCCAAAGAAGTTGTTCTACTTTGAACTCAAGAATGGAAAATGGAATGATGGAGGACAGGAAAAGAGATTTAAAGATGGGCTCAAAGCCAACCTTAAAAACTGTGGCATAGACACCGAGAACTGGGAAGCCCTGGCCATTGAGCGCTCCAGCTGGATATCAGCTGTGATCAGCAGTGCTGTAGAATTTGAAGAGGCATGAATGGAGGACGAAAGAGAGAAATGTGCAAGAGGAAGAGCATGTCAAGCCAACCCAGACCGGGACCGTCTTCCACTGGAAACCATGCCCTCACTGCAGGAGACATGCAGGTCAAGAATAGGGCCCCAGAGTCACCTACGTACCCACCACCAGTATACCGACCTTGGGGGACAATCTTACTCGGACAATGAGGGATCGCCTAAGTAAATAGATGTTCTCTTTAGGAACCTCTAGGTTTAAGAGTACAGGAACCCTAAAGACAATCCCTCTTTAAGAATGTCTAGGTCATCCAGTGGAAGTCTTGAGTTAGTGGAGGTTGACCATAGTATTACACCGGAGGGATACAAATCCCTACAATAGTGACTGGTTTAATAGAAAAACAATTACAATTTTAAAGAATTTTGCATTTTAGTAGAGGTTTCCCCTTGACATTAAGTCTAGTCGAGTCTGACTCTGGAGGGTGGTGCTCATCTCCACTTCTAAGCTGAAAAGCCAGCGTTGTCCGTAGACACCTCCAAGCTCATGTGGCCAGCATGACTGCATGGAGCGTCATTACCTTCTTGCCGGAGCCTCAGTGGTGCAATGGGTTAAACCCTTGTGTTAGCAGGACTGCTGACCGAAATCTTCACTTCGAATCTGGGGAGTGAGGTGAGCTTCCCTCTGTCAGCTCCAGCTTCCCATGGGGGAACATAAGAGAAGCCTCCCACAGGATGGTAAAACATCCGGGCATCCCCTGGGCAATATTCTTGCAGACGGCCAATTCTCTCACACCAGAAGCGACTTGCAGTTTTTCAAGTCACTCCTTACACCAACCCCCCCCCCCCCCCCCCACAAAACAAAACCCTTTCTGCTGGTCACATTTGCGTGTTTTCGAACTGCTCCATCATGGAAATCCAAACGATGTCCTGTTTAACTATTGTTAATATTTCTGTTTTATTTTTCTACTTTTCATGTTAATCTCCGAGTTTTTAAAAATTGTAATGTCAACTACATTTCTGTGATTCGTGTTGTTTATAACTATCTAAAACTCCATTTCTGTAGCAAATTATATGGCACCTAGTTGTGTGATTTATCCTGTGTCCAGAAGATATTGAGTTGGGTTGTACAGTTACTGTTGGAAGTCAATATAAAAGAGAGAATAAGCACATACATTGAAATGAAGGGTTCTGCAGAGAATACAGAACCTCGGTGGTTACTTCTCAGTATTGATTGAATTGATATCCTTCCTGACTTTTAATATGGTACTCAAGGTGGATGCAAACATTAAAAACAGTTAAGGAAACTGCTATAATAAAACATGATGTTTAAATGGGTTTAAAAGGCAAGAAAAGGGAAAAATGCAGAGCACACTTCATTACAGAGACCCTTCTGCTTGAGCAAGTTAAGAGCCAAAAGCCTGACAAAACTGAACAATCTTGTCCCACAGACAAAGAACCAACTGAACTTCCCATTGGTGTGAACTTCCCGTTAGTTCCAAAATTTGGGAGCAGCCACCAAGAAGGCTCTTTCATGTGTTCCTAGCCAATACAGCTTTGATGATGGTGGGATGGACAGAAAAGCCCCACCCTGAAGATCCTAAAAGTTGGGCAATTGGTTGACCATGCAGGGCGAAATCTGATGGCATTCAGATTTTTGGACAATCACTTCCATGATCCCTAAATGACCTTCCCCATGATCTTCCAAAGATGGCTGGGTGCCTCACCAAATGACGGCACCCAGAATTCCATAGCATTGAGCCATAAAAGTTAAAGTGGTGTCGAACTGCATGAATTTTACAGTGTAAATGCATCCCAAATCTAATAACCAAGGTAGAATAGAAAGTGTGTTAGTGCAGAAACAGCTTTAGTGACCTGTAAGACAAAGGATACACCTGTACATTTAGACAGAAGCCTTTGAAAGGAATTGGAATCAGGTAATGAGCTTATGGAGCCCCCGGTGGCACAGTGGAGCCCCCGGTGGCGCAGTGGGTTAAAGCACTGAGCTGCTGAGCTTGTTGATCAAAAGGTCGCAGGTTCGATTCCGGGGAGCGACGTGAGCTTCCGCTGTCAGCCCTAGCTTCTGCCAACCTAGCAGTTTGAAAACATGCAAATGTGAGTAGATCAATAGGTACCACTCCGGCGGGAAGGTAACGGCGCTCCATGCAGTCATGCCGGCCACATGACCTTGGAGGTGTGTACGGACAACGCTGGCTCTTCGGCTTAGAAATGGAGGTGAGCACCACACCCCAGAGTCAGACATGACTGGACTTAATGTCAGGGGACTACCTTTACCTTTACCTAATGGGCTTATACTATTTCATATCACTCTCAAAGACAGCTTTGCTCTCAAACATTCCAATACACACACAAACACACACGCACCAAACTTTATTACAGTCCATGGACCTGCATCTGAGCAAATGAAAGTCATCCTTACTTTGCTTTGAGGGTCTCCTCTTGAAAATTCCACCTGGGGTTCTCCACAAGTTGCAGCTCCCGCAAAACACTCCCGGGTCTGTAGGCGGAGTTGATGACCATGCTAAGGACCTGCCAGAAAAAGAGTAGAGGGGCTTGGTTTTCGGAGGATCCTGTGCCATGAATTGAGAAAGGGACCAAAGGTCTATGCAAGTCGATAGATAATCCTAGGATCCCTTTTAATCACAGTGGTCCCCAACCTTTTTTTTTTTTACCAGGGACCACTTTGACCAGAGATCACTCTCCAACATTAGTACCAAAATAGTTACAAATCAGTTTTTGGTTACCTTTAGATTTGGTTTGGTTATTTGGGGTGCGGATTCAGAAAATTGCATTGGATAGATAGACCACATCAGTAATAGTTTCTGATATAGAACATATGCCATCCAATAATCGCCATCTGCTCACCCACAGAAAACCATATTTAATAAGCCTCAGCACTATAAGGGTTTTCGCGACACCAGTTGCTCTAGTTGCAACCATATTGCAAACCACTTTTAATAATCTAGAGCTGATGTGGTAGTTGTAATCTTTTGTGGGTAGTCAGCTTCTAGAGTCATCTTAGGTCACCATAAGCTGGAAATGACTTGAAGGCAACATCAACAAATTGAAGGAAATGTCAGTCTAGTGTTCAGTAGCTGTGTCAAAGTCTAATCCCACATTGGGGATATTTTATGCCAACATATTGGGAATATCATCTTTTGCCAGTCCTCCAAACATCCCTACTCTTAACATAAACTGTGCCAAATACATCTATTTGAACCCTTCCCAAAATGGTCACAGGAATGATAGTATGAAAAAGAGTCCTTGGATGTCCCTTGTCACTTAAAAAAGTATCTCCTGGCTGTAAAATGGACCACAGGCACCCAAAACATGGTGAAAATACCTCTTGAGTCTCCCTTAGAATGTGTTTGGGGTCTTGGGGGCTAATTTCTTTTTCTGGAAGGAGGTGAGATGGGGTTGCATCACACAGCGCCGCATAGGAGCTTAGCTGGCCCTCTCTTCTCAAGTTTCAATTATCCTGTCTCTCAGATTGTCTCCTATTTCAACTATCCTGCCCTTAGGATTGCTAGAAAGCTGTATTTTAATTCAGCAAGAATATAAGCAAGGAGGAAGGACAAGTTAAACATGAGCCAACAATGTGATGGGGTGGCAAAAAAGTCAATGGTATTTTGGCCTGCATCAATAGGAGTCTAGTTCTAGATCCAGGGAAGTCATGCTTCCCATGCTCTATTCTGCCTTGGTTAGACCACACCTGGAATATTGTGTCCAATTCTGGGCACCACAATTCAAGAGAGATATTGACAAGCTGGAATGCCTCCAGAGGAGGGCGACTAAAATGATCAAGGGTCTGGAGAACAAGCCCTATGAGGAGCAGCTTAAAGAGCTGGGCATGTTTAGCCTGAAGAAGAGAAGGCTGAGAGGAGACATGATGAGGGCCATGTATAAATATCTGAGAGGAGGAGGTCATAGGGAGGAGAGAGCAAACATGTTTTCTGCTTCCCTGGAGATTAGGACACAAACTACAGGAAAGGAGATTCCATCTGAACATTAGGAAGAACTTCCTGACTGTTCAGCAGTGGAACTCTCTGCCCTGGAGTGTGTTAGAGGCTCCTGCTTTGGAAGCCTTTAAACAGAGGCTGGATGGCCATTTGTTGGGGGTGCTTTGAATGTAATTTTCCTGCTTCTTGGCAGGGGGTTGGACTGGATGGCCTATGAGGTTTCTTCCAACTCTATGATTCTATGAAGGAGAGCCTTGGCTATAGGGAATGTTGTGCGACAAAGTGCAATGCTCACCTCTTTAAGGACTAGCACGCACTTCCCTGGGCCCACAGACTGGGGCAGCTCTGCCAACCTTCCTTTGTTCAGATGTGGTCCTGAGAAGCAGCGATGGTTGATGAACAGGGCTGGGCAGCTGTACCTCCCGTTGATGGTACCTGCAGAGAGGAGACACACAGTCCCATGTTTCTCCTACATCCTCACTTTGAATGGCTTGCTCTCCCCCAGATTCATCCACCTTCTTAGAAGGGAGAGATAAGAGCAATCTGGAGAGAGTTGTTCACAGTTACATCATGCAGAAGAAAGATTTCTAAATGCGGTTGAACTATTTCAGCAACTAAAAACATGCTCTCTTTTTACACTCCTGGGTAGAGCAGGGATTCAAATATTCAGTAGGGCTTCTGTCCATGAAAGAGAAAGTTATTCAGGACTGGCATTTTACTCTGAGATTAGAGAAAAAACTCACCCATTGCTTCTGCCTGTGGAATAACACAGGGGTCGTGTATCATCTTTTCAACAGGCACTCCAGGTGGTACCCTATTGGATGACAAAACTATGTGAAATGTGGAGATACAGGTAAGCCATCACTTGAGACAAAATGCCACATTTCAGTGGGCTGCTGTATGGCCATGTTCCAGAAGCATTCTCTCCTGAAGTTTCACCCACATCTATGGCAGGCATTCTCAGAGGTTGTGAGGTCTGTTGGAAACTAGGCAAGTGAGGTTTATATATCTGTGGATGTCCAGCTTGGGAGAAAGAACTCTTGTCTATTAGAGGCAAGTGTGAATGTTGCAATTGACGACCTTGATTAGCACTGAATAGCCTTGCAGCTTCAAAGCCTGGCTGCTTCCTGCTTGGAGAATCCTTTATTGGGAGACGTTAGTTGGCCCAAATAGTTTCTTGTCTGGAATTCCCCTGTTTTCTCTGTGTTATTCTTTATTTGCTGACCTGATTTGAACAAAACCTGGCTACCAGTATTTAAAAAAACCTCTCAAATCAGGATAGCAAATAAAGAACAATACTCAGAAAATGGGGAATTCCAGACAAGAAACAATCAGGGCCAGCTAACACCTCCCAACAAAGGATTCCCCCAGCCAGGAAGCAGCCAGGCTTTGAAACTGCAAGGCTATTCAATGCTAGTCAAGGTGGCTAATTGCAACATTCATGCTTCCCTCAAACAGGCAGGAGTTCTTTCTTCCACCTTGGACATTGTGCAGATATATCAACCTTACTTGGCCACATTTATTAGCACTGAATAGGTGTCTATGGACAATGCCGGCTCTTCAGCTTAGAAATGGAGATGAGTACCACACCCCAGAGTCGGACATGACTGGACTTCATGTCAGGGGAACACCTTTATCTTTGCTTTAGCCTTGCAGCTTCAAAGGCTGGCTGCTTCCTGCCTGGGAGAATGTGAATAATTTCAACAGAAAGAAGGAGACCATAAAAATGAACAAAATCTTTTACCAGTATTAAAAAATCTCTAAAATCAGGACAGCAAATAAAGAACAACACTCAGAAAACAGGGGAATTCCAGACAAAAAACAATCAGGGCCAGTTAACACATCCCAACAAAGGATTCCCCCAGGCAGTAAACAGCCAGGCTTTGAAGCTGCCAGACTATTCAGTGCTAATCAAGGTAGCCAATTGCAACATTAACACTTGCCTTTAACAGACAAGGGTTCTTTCTCACAACCTCTAAGGATGTGTGCCATAGATGTGGGTGAAACATCAGGAGAGAATGCTTCTTGAACATGGCCAGGCAGCCCAGAAAACTCGCAGCAACACAATGATTCTAATTATGAAAGTCTTTGATAACACATTGTCACAACCCAATTGCTATGTGCCCCCTTGCATGCATGTGAACATCAAAACTTCCATTTTAGCCAACAAGCCCCAAATGGTAAAGATTCTTGCTGGGCAGGATTCTGCTCATAAGGTTTTTTTTTTTTATCATCCAGGAATCACATTTTTAGCCTTTTTTTAAAGCATTTTCCAACATGGTTTGCCTAGCCTTGTCATCCAGAAAACTGATGAATTTCAGATGTGTTTGGATACATGTACAACCAAGACATCCTTTACCTCCATTAATTTGGGTGAATGGAGTTGAAGACTGGAAGGGCCAAACTGGGAAATCTGGGGAAACTGGTTTAGTACAACTCTTGTGAGCAATCTCACACTATTCCTGAGGCAGGAATTCATTCCCCCTCATTTTCTGACAACGAAGTCAATTTAATTTCATTAATTCAAAGAAAACAAGACATCCCTTTAGGATCCACAGACCTATTTGCACACATGCATGACCAAACACAGAATGAAGCCCATCACATTTGCAGAGGCAGTTTCTGTCCACGCTGGCAACATCATTTCCAGATGGTATCTTGGCACACATAACTTCCTAAGCTGCAGAATCCCAGCCATTATGTTTAGCTGTTCTGTGCCATCCTAGAATGTAAATCTTAGTTATTTACATATTAAAGCTGCTTTGTTATTTACATGTTAAGTGCCTACTTACTTCTTTTCGGGTTGTACGACAGCAATCTTTCTCTTCCTCTGTACTGCAAAAACAAGAGGGACAACACAAGCAATTTGGGTCAAAGATGTTCGCAAATATCTTACAGATTCTATTCCTTGGACAGGAGGAAACCCTTACGAATCATCAGTAACGATCATCTCAGTCTACAAACCCATAAGAATTATTTTGTTGGATTGGATCAGTGGTTCCCAACCTTTTTTTGACCAGGGACCACTCTCCAAGATCAGTACCGAAAGGGTGACGAATCAGTTTTGGTCAACTTTAGATTTCGTTTGGTTATTTGGGGTGCTGATTCAGAAAATTGCATTGGATAGACCACATCAGCTCTAGTTTCTGATACAGAACATGCTCCATCCAGTAGTCACCATCTGCTTGCTCACAAAAAGCAGAAAGCGCACAGAAGGGCAGACTCCCAGAGTTGTGTCCAACTCTGGGAGTCGCTGCTCATCTTCATTTCTAAGCTGAAGAACCAGTGTTGTCTGTAGACATCTCCAAGGTCATGTGGCCAGCATGACTTTATGGAGCGCTGTTATCTTCCCACTGGAGTGATACTACTCGCATTTATGTTTTCGAACTGCTAGGTTGGCAGAAGCTGGGCCTAGCAGCAGGAGCTCACGCCGCTCCCCGGATTCATACAAACCAAACATACAGAATAAATAAACTTTATTTATATGCCGCTCCCTCTCCCCTAGGAGACTTGGAGTGGCTTGGGGACTACCTGTATTGCACTTCACTGAAGTTCAAAATGCATTATAATGTATTGTCGAAGGCTTTCATGGCCGGAATCACTGGGTTGTTGTAGGTTTTCTCGGGCTATATGGCCATGGTCTAGAGGCATTCTCTCCTGACGTTTCGCCTGCATCTATGGCAAGCATCCTCAGAGGTAGTGAGGTTCTGTTGGAACTAGGACGCAAGGGAACAATGGCTTCAAACTACAAGAGAGGAGATTCCATCTGAACATGAGGAAGAACTTCCTGACTGTGAGAGCCGTTCAGCAGTGGAACTCTCCGGAGTGTGGTGGAGGCTCCTTCTTTGGAAGCTTTTAAACAGAGGCTGGATGGCCATCTGTCAGGGGTGATTTGAATGCAATATTCTGCTTCTTGGCAGGGGGTTGGACTGGATGGCCCATGAGGTCTCTTCCAACTCTTTGATTCTATGATTCTTAGATGCAGGTGAAACATCAGGAGAGAATGCCTCTAGAACATGGCCATATAGCCCGAAAAAACCTACAACAACCCATTATAATGTACTTGGAACTGCATCATATGATAATGTAAATCCAACCATAGATGTGGCCAAAAATAATTCCTCCTGAATAAGCCTATGTAGGAGTGAATGGTAATTAACACGGTTACTCTTTAGATTGGGAAATTAGATGTGCTTAATTGCTCTTACATTACAATCTTGTCTGCTGATATGTGTGCTCTAAACAGTTATGCCACTATTTTGTTGAAACATTACACTAATAGACCCTACGGAGCACTTCACATGTTTGCTCATCTTATTTTTATGGGATATGTACTTAACCAAAATACTAAAACAATGCCGGTATTCTTGCATTTAGAAGAACATGTTACGCAATTAAATTTTGCAAGCCTGATTACCCTCGGGGTTCTCTTTTTTCTTCTTCACTCATTGCATTCACAATGAGCAAGGGCTGAACGATTCTGCCTCGGCTGCATTCTCCCAAATTAGGTACGGCTCTCAGCTTTGAAAGCCAAACATGTTTTGCTCTTAGAACAAAACAAAAACAGCAATATGTTTTCAAATCCATCTAGGAAGCAACAATGCAAAGAGAAAGAATGCACTTTTCAGGACTGGTGACAATCCCATCCATCATGTCTCCTGGATCTTAACTCTGAAGACGAAAATAGGAAGTCGTGTCTTACAACGCATTATCCGTATTCTGGCTTATTTGGAAGCCATAAATTATAGTTAACAGCAAAGAGAAAAGACGAGAATTATTGTACAAACCTGACCCAATCAGTGGCCCCAGACGCCACAAAAATAATCCTGGGCAACATAGCATGTATTTGTCCTTTCCTGCTTTATAGGTCTATGGACCGATACTAATGACAAAGGATTGCTCCAATGTGCCAAGCTAAAGCCTTGCCACAACCCCCACAATCAAGGCCACATTGCAGTGCTTTGCAAAATCTAATTCCCTCCTACCGATCAAGCTGTAAATGCTGAAACACTACGGCGAAGGTTAACTATATAAATCTGCTGTTTCATGTACTTACAAATTGGTTTATGCGGTGCCAGGAGCCTGTAAGCATTCGCTTCGCACCACCCAACTGGGAATATGTCCATCGATTCTACATCAACTATGTATTCTGGAGCAGGGACCTGTAAACCTATAAACACAAATTTATAATGTAATTTTTAAAGCTAAGGAAGGAAGCGACAGGAGACAAAGAAGCACAGTTTTCTCAAACACAGAGAAAAAGATAAGATGTGTAGCAGAAGGGAAGACAAATCAGCCCTCTCCTCCAACAGCATCCATCCTTCATCATCTATGCTGCACACAAACAAAGAAAAATATGACCGTCTTGTTTTTTTAAAGCAGTAACATTATGTTTTTAAAAAGTGTGCATTAACCAATGCATTCAGATGCTATATGCAGATGGGTTGCTGTGAGTTTTCCGGGCTGTATGGCCATGTTCCAGAAGCATTCTCTCCTGACTTTTCACCCACATCTATGGCAGGCATCCTCAGAGGTTGTGAGGTCTGTTGGAAACTAGGCAAGTGGGGTTTATATATCTGTGGAATAATGTCCAGGGTGGGCAAAAGAACTCTTTGTCTATTTGAGGCAAGTGTGAATGTTGTTAATGTAAGATTAGTGTAATGTGAATGTTTAAATGTAATTTTGTGCAATGCCTGTGAATGTAACCTGATTGCATTAGCAGAGAGTGTATTGACTCTGAAAGGGTTAATCAGCCAAGTCTCTAATGAACTGTGAAGTTAAGTTGTGACCCTGAGTGTGCCTGGAACGCGTAGGGAGGATCCAGAGATAAGATTTTGTTCATCCTTCTTACTTTGGTGCTTTTGTCTTGTTTCTGTTCTTTTTGGTTGGGTGTCAACTCGAGTGTGTGCTGTATATTTGCTCTACTCAGTAAAGCTATACGTTTGCTTTTACTGAAGTCTCAATGTGTTCATCCTTCTAAGCTTCAAAGCTTCTGTCACACTTTGACAAAGGGTTATGGGCCCCGGAGCTGAAGAAGGATCTTGTTCTTGCAAGTGTGCATGTATCCGCAGCGAGGGGATGCTATTCTTGCAACAAGCCTGGACATCTGGCCAGAGATTGCAGAGTCAAGAAAAGTCAACTCAGAGGGGAGACCGCCAGATGCCACTGAAGGTGTGTTCGTGAGTCAGCGGCTGGGCTTAAATTCAGAGTACAAGGGTCTCCTGGAGATGAGAATTGGGCCACCTTGATTAGCATTGAATAACCTTGCAGCTTCAAAGCCTGGTTGCTTCCTGCATATGCTTACAGAACAATACCATTATCTATGCTGTTCTTTTATCCCTATGTGTGTGAATTGCTCATATATGCAGGCTGAGCATCCTTTATCCAGAATTCCTATATCTGAAATACGTCAAAGCCCAAAATTAAGATAGGGACAGCTTTGCTTACAGTTGGTTAAATGTACAGAAACATTGTTTCATACAAAAAAAGTATTAAAAATTACCTTCAGCCTATGCCTATAAGATGTATATGAAACAAAAAAGGAATTTCAGGTGTAGAGATGGATCTCATTTCATGATGTAAACATCTTCGGGATTCCGAAATTTGAAAAATGCTGGGAGTTGTAGTTTGATGAAGCACCAGCCCTCTTTGAAAGAGAAAACTAAAGACTGTCTAAAACTAAAACTCCCAGGATTCCATAGCACTGAGCTAGGGCAGATAAAGTGGTGTCAAACTACATTTATTTATTTATTTATTTATTTATTTATTTATTTATTTATTTCAGTTACTTCTACCCCGCCCTTCTCACCCCGAAGAGGACTCCGGGCGGCTTACAAAGGCACAATTCGATGCCGGCATCATATAACAGTAGTAAACAAATAGCAGAAATTAACAATTAAACAACAGTTCCTGCATTACAACAATAAAACCAATAAAACCAATACAAACCCAATTACTCCTCATTGACGGTCAGTGTTCGCTATCTCATAGTCCAAATTCCAATTCCACATTGTCAATCCTATCAGTCCTAATCATCTGATTGTCCTTATCTAGTTGTCAGATTGCCCAAAGGCCTGGTCGCACAACCACATCTTTACTTTCCTCCTGAAGGAGAGGAGGGATGTTGATGCCCTAATTTCCCCCGGGAGTGAGTTCTACAGGTGAGGGGCCACCACTGAGAAGGCCCTGCTCCTTGTCCCCACCAACCTCACTTGTGATAGCGGTGGGGTCGAGAGCAGGGCCTCCCCAAATGATCTCAAACTCCGGGGTGGGACAGTGTAGATCAGGCATGGGCAAACTTGGGCCCTCCAGGTGTTTTGGACTTCAACTCCCACAACTCCTAACAGCCTCAGGCCCTTTCCTTTCCACCCTCAGCCACTTAAGGAATTAGGAATTGTGGGAGTTGAAGTCCAAAACACTCGGAGAGCCCGTGTTTGCTCATGCTTGGTGTAGATGCACCCTAAGTTATCTAACTTGGATATAAAATGTCCTCATCCCACATAAAAATATACAACAAATTTCACAATTATTTCACATTTGGAAAGACAACAATGTTGATTGGAAGCATACAAGACAATGATTATTACAGGAAGTGTGTTATGGTAGCAAGCAGTATTTTTGAGTTTGCTTTATGGATTCCAAATAATCCAAAATGGAGAGGGGTTCAAAACCCAATGCAGAAAACCAGAAGGATGAAGATTAGCTGAGAAACAGAAGAAAAAATCCATAAAGATCAAATCTTCTGAGAATATGTCAGTTTTAGGAATGGTGTGTGGAGATATCAGTGTGAATTGAATTCTAAAAATTTACTACATTGGAACTCGATTTGCCTTCTGTTATTTAATAGATGCATTTCCCTCTGAATACCTGAGAAATATATGTTATTGCTTATGGAAATGCAAGCCCTAAAATTCAGAATTGGATCCAAGCACAGTGAAAATTCAATCCGAGCATACTGTTTTATTTACTTTGTTTCATATCCTGCCCTCTCTCCCTCGTAAAGGGACTCAGTGAAAATTAACAATGTGGATCACAAGAGAGAAAGTAACATAAAACAGTAACTGAGAAATAACGCTAAAAATGACAAATGCTTCATTTTCTTGGCTGAAACATGGAAAGAGAGGGAGGACTCTATCTGGTTTGAAGCCATTGAAGTCTATCTGGTGCTGGCATTATTAGCTTGGAAGAGATACTTTTTAATTACGAATTCCAGAATATCCACCAACCATTAGATCTACTAGCCATGTTGGCTACAAAATTCTGGGGTTTGTTGTTGTTGTTGTTGTTGTGTGTCTTCAACTTACCCTCAAAATGGAGCCACATTAATCTTCCTTTTACTGCTGAAACAGATGCCACACAGATTTCAGCTCGATTCTTGGGGTTGACGGCCTCAAGCTTCATATTTTTCGTAAAGCCTCGGCTGGAAACCTGAAAGACAGCCAAACAAATGACACTATCTAGAAGTATCCTCCACCCTGTGTGACTGTGGAGCAGAACAAACAACTCTGCATCTGCATGCTTGCCCACAATGCCCTACCTCATGCACAGAGGAAGAACTGTTTAAAGCTACAGACAATGCAGTCGCTGTTGCCCGTCTTTGGTCTAAAACTATTTAGCTGCTTGTGATCCCTTTTAATAATTTTTAAACTTATTTATTTATGCAATGCTTTTGACATGAAATAATTAACTAAACAAATAGAGTATTTATTTATGCCCTGCTTTATCTCTCCCCAAGGAGACTCAAAGTGGCTTTTTCATATATTACAGTAAACTCTCAGTTAACCCATTGCACCCATGGGGATTGGTAAATGCTGATAAATGTAGGCTCTGCTTGCTTGAGAATTGCTATTAAAATAGTTCTAATACTTCATAATATACACACAATACCATAAACTCTGTACTGACTTAATACTAATTCTGAAATACAGTAATTAAAAACAAAGACAAACCTAACTTAATGTAACACAGTTTTACTGTATTAGAAATACTGATTTTATTGTATTACTAACAGTACCCGCCACGCTTTGCTGTGGCCAACCTTCCCTCTTTCTCTTCTTTGTTCCTTCCTCCTTCCTTCCTTCCTTCCTTCCTTCCTTCCTTCCTTCCTTCCTTCCCGTCTTTCCTTCTCTTCTTCCTTCCTTCTCTATCTCTTTCCTTCCTTCCCCCTTTTTTTTCTCTTCTGCTGTCTCTTTTCTTCCTTCTCTCTTTCCTTCCCTCCCTCTTTCTCTACATCTCCCCCTTCCTTCTTTCCTTCTTTCTTTCCTTCCTTCTTTCCCTTTTTTCTTTCCTTCTCTCCTTCCTTCCTTCTCTAACTTTCCTTCCTTCCCCCTTTTTCCTTCCTTCCCTCTTTCTCTCCTTTCTTCCTTCTCTACCTCTTTCCTTCCTTCCTTCTCTCTTTGCTTCCTTCTCCCTTTCCTTCCTTCTTTCTTTCCCTTCCTCCCTCTTTCTTTCTTTCCTTCTTTCTTTCTTTCTTTTCTCCCCTTCCCTCCCTCTTTCTTCCCTTTTTTCTGTATTGTCATTTAGCTTTTCGTCATTTAGCTTTTTGGGGCTTTTTAAGTCCCTTCTGCTGTGTTTTTCAGTGTTTTTATGAGTGAAGGACATACATTGGGTTGTTAGGTGTCTTGTGTCCAAATTTGGTGTCAATTCCCCCAGTGGTTTTTGAGTTCTGTTAATCCCACAAACGAACATTACATTTTTATTTATATAGATGTATTAAAATATTTTATTTTAATTTTTATTTGAAGTATTATTTTTTAGATATTTTTTGCCAGTTGCTCAAATTCTTGCAAACTGAGAGTCTCTTGTATAATTGGATGTAAAGAAAAAGAGAAGGTAAGACAACATATAAAGTGAGAGACACGTGTACAAGATAGTGACATTGTCAATGATGAATATAAAAGCGCGGGATCACCACCACCATAATCACCCTCATCATCATCTTACATTTCTGAAGCATAATGGGGGAGCTGCTTCTGCTCCACACTGCTTTTGGTAATCTGCCCAGTCAAAGTCCTGGCTTGAATACCCTAAAGGAAGACAAAAACCACAAAAAACCATTTACTGATTGAGAACATAGACTTCTCAAATCTGTTGGATTACAACCCCCATCATTCATGGCCAACATTGGTGATACTAGTGTGGAATGATGGGGATTGACATCCAAGACATGACAGGTTTGGGAACGGTGTTTCACAAAATGAGCACTTTCAAACAAAACCCCCCTCCCTCCTTCTTTGTGGAATATGTGCAGTTATGGATGGAAACATCATTTGTTACTGTTCACATTCTTGCCGAATAATGCATTTCCTGATATATCAGAAACTCACAAGAGAAGAATATAGTAGCAGTGGTGATTCATCACACTTTGCAAAATCTTGGGAGGAATTACATTCTCCAGAAAAAACATTTTCTACTGCAAAACAAGGTGAGGAAAAATGTGCTAAGTCTATGTTTCATTTACAGGAGACAATGTTTCCTCCTGTTCCTTGTGAAAAATGTATTCTTTGCATTGGAAACTGATGTCAGTTTCTGTTTTAAATAATTCCACAAAAGATTTCACAAGCACTTGAGAACTGCGCAAACACATTTATCATCTTCCAAAGAGGCACGAATACTATGGAAAATATTAATGCTTGCCTGCAAGCATGAAGAATGTCAAGATTGACATTTATAGTGTTGCTACATCACATGAGCAGCATCGCCAAAGTAAACAACCGCTTTCCTAACACTATTAACATGTTCCCATTGACTTTTAAGACATAAGAGATTTGTGAAACCTAGATTGTGCTCAGAGTTTCAACCAATGATTGCAAAGATACAGAATGGGGGCTGCCTGGCTCGAGAGCAGTACGTGTGAAAAAGATCTTGGAGTCCTCATGGACAACAAGTTAAACATGAGCCAACAATGAGATGCGGCAGCTAAAAAGCCAATGGGATTTTGGCCTGCATCAATCTTTTTCTTCTTAGGCGATCCCTCATAGTCCAAGGATGATGGTCCTCCAATTCGGTGTCTTGGTGGTGGGTTCATAGGTGACTGTGGAGCCCTATTCTTGATCTGCATCTTCTCCCGCAGTGAGGGCATTGGTTTCCAGGTGGAAGGCGGTCTCGGACGGGGTTGGCTTGACGCACCTTCCTCTTGGCATGTTTCTCTCTTTCATCCTCTCATGCCTCTTCTAATTCTGCAGCACTGCTACGCACAGCTGACCTCCAGCTGGAGCACTCAAGGGCCAGGGCTTCCCAGTTTTCAATGTCTAGGCCAGAGTTTTTAAGGTTGGCTTTGAGCCCGTCTTTAAATATCTTTTTCTGTCCACCAACATTTTGTTTTCTGTTCTTGAGTTTGGAGTAGAGCAACAGCTTTGGGAGACAGTGGTCGGGCATCTGGACAACCTGGCTGGCCCAGCGGAGTTGATGGTGGAGGACCATCACTTCAATGCTGGTGGTCTTTGCTTCTTCCAGCATGCTGACGTTTGTCCGCTTGTCTCCCCAAGAGATTTGCAGGATTTTCCGGAGGCAGCGCTGATGGAATCGTTCCAGGAGTTGCATGTGACGTCTGTAGACAGTCCACGTTTCGCAGGCATATAGCAGGGTTGGGAGGACAATAGCTTTATAGACAAGCACCTTGGTATCCCTACGGATATCCCGGTCCTCAAACACTCTGCTTCATTCGGAAAAATGCTGCACTCGCAGAGCTCAGGCGGTGTTGTATTTCGGTGTCGATGTTGACTTTGGTGGAGAGGTGGCTGCCAAGGGAGCAGAAATGATCAACATTTTCTAATGTTACACCATTAAGCTGTATCACTGGCATTGGAGAGGGGTTGGCTGGTGTCTGCTGGAACAGCACTTTGGTTTTCTCGATGTTTAATGACAGGCTGAGCTTCTCGTAGGTGTTTAGAGTGGCTTGTAGATCTTCTTCTGAATGCACACAGATGACATTGTCATCAGCATACTGGAGTTCTATAACAGATGTTGTTGTAATAGGAGTCTAGTGTCTAGATCCAGGGAAGTCATGCTATCCACACTCTATTCTGTCTTGGTCTGACCGTTTTACCTAGAATCACACTGTGTCCAATTCTAGGCACCATTCTTTTATCTTTTTGTTAGTCCATACTTATTGAGCCACCCAAATTTTGGGTTTAACTGTATTGAGTCTGGGATTAAAATGTACCAAAATCATGCTGCTTTCTTAAATATTGGGGCTGGTTTTTTGGGTGTTGAGGTGCGCTTTACCTACTGCTCCTCTAAACTAGGAGCAAGACAGGTTCATTTCCATTTTAATAAATATAAACAAGCTCAAATCATAAACTGAGGAAGATTTCAGTCGCGGGCATTAAGCTCCAGCCAAGTCTGGCACGGCTGCAGCGAAGCACAAAGCGAACATTATGCAAAGTGCAGGCTCCTTGAGCTGCTAATGGAAATGTGCTTTCCTCTTAATAGCTCATAAAATAGACAATCACTGTTAACACTAAAAGAAAGAAAGAGGTCTATAAATCCAGCTTAATAAATATAAGCCGTGCCAAGTCAGTGCTTACATATGGTGGCAGCTAATGAATGTTAATTTGCTGGCTGGCAACCAAAAGCAAGCACAAAAGTACTATTTCTGGCCCCGAGAAATCTACTCAGCTTTTCTTTTGTTCCCATTTAGTGTAAATTTCATGACTACTATTAATCTGACTTAGAAATGGGTTGAAAGGGAAACTGAGACACTCAGTTACAAACACAGGCTGACTCCCTTTTTCCAATCCTGGCAAAGTTTAAACAAGGTTTCTATATGCATGCACATTTGCACATCTGTGTTCACTGCATGCCACTAGAGGAGTGGTTCTCAACCTGTGGGTTCCCAGGTGTGTTGGCCTACAACTCCCAGAAATCCCAGCCAGTTCACCAGCTGTTAAAATTTCTGAGAGTTGAAGGCCAAAACATCTGGGGACCCATAAGTTGAGAACCATTGTCCTAGACCAGTGGTTCTCAACCTTCCTAATGCTGCAACCCCTTAATACAGTTCCTCATGTTGTGGTGACCTCATAATGTAAATATAATGTAATGTAAATATCTGATATGCAGGATGTATTTTCATTCATTGGACCACATTTGGCACAAATACCCAATATACCCAAATTTGAATACTGGTGGGGTTGAGGGGGGAGGGTGTTGATTTTGTCATTTGGGAGTTGTAGTTGCTGGGATTTATAGTTCACCTACAATCAAAGAGCATTCTGAACACCACGATAGAATTGAACCAAACTGGGCACACAGACCCAACGTGGCCAACTGTGAATACAGGCGGTGTTTGGAGGTGATTGACCTTGGCATAGGGAGTTGTAGTTCACCCACATCCAAAGAACCCAGCTGACAATGGATCTGGACCTGGATCTGGACCTAACTTGGCACACAGACCCAATGTGGCCAACTGTGAATACTGGTGGTATTTGGGGAAAATTGACCCACGATTTTGGGAGTTGTAGTTTTATGGGAGAATAAAAAACATAAGGAAAGACTGACCTTTTTTCTATTAAAAAGCGTTACAAATTACTTAAGCTGCTTCTGCTGCTGTTGGTTCTCCTGATGCTGCTGGGCCACTCTAGGTCCCATATTGCATGGATTCTTTTTCCCTTGCCTTGAAAGGATGTGAGCCTCCCTCCAGCCTTGCGCGCTCTCCCTCGCCCATACATGCGCACCACGCTGTCATGCGCCAAGCCTGCCTACTCTCCCCTTCCTGCTTGGAGTCTCAGAAACAGCCCTCTCCTTGGCTATGAGGCTGGCTTGTGGGAGGATTTGCTGACAGTTCACAAAAAAAAGAAGAGAAGGGTGGGCAGAGAGAGCTTCAGCCTTCACTGCCAAAGGAGTTCATAAGACAATCAGAAATATGTGTTTTCTGATGGTCTTTGGTGACCTTTTTGAATCCCCCTCACAGCCACCCCAGGGATACTGACCCCTGTGTTGAGAAATGCTGCCTTAGATAATATGATAGAAGAAATAAGGGCTCAACACTATGAGAAGCAATGCCTCTGTGAGGACAGCTTCAGATATCTCAGAAGCTACAGGTTCTGTTTCCCAACCAGAAGGCAACTAGTAAAATATATCAAAATTAAGCAGAGATCAAGTGAGACTGTTACATGGAAATACAAACCTTTGGGAGGCGTGAGATGGACTCCATTTTTAAGGCACCACTGGACTGGCATGATCCCTAAGGAATCGGCATGGCAAAGGATCGTGGTGGCTGTTGCCTCCGGACAGAGGTCATCAATGGTTACTTGGACAAAATGGTGACTAAAAACCTGAAGGGAAGCAAATCACACAGTATTAGTTCCTCATGGAAACGCTTGCAATTGTAGATATCCAGTTCTGAGTTTTGCATCCTCATCATCCTCATCCTGTCTGGGATCCAGGAGGCTTATCAAAGTTACAACAGATATAGATAAAAAGGTACATCACAGTCATTAAAATACGATTAAGCTATCAATTAGATGATATACTCATGCATAAGTTTAGAAATTCCAGCCAAAAAAATAAACCCTGCAAAACTGGGTCAGCTTATCCATGGGTCAATGCAATGACTGTATCTTAACTATTATCCAAAAAAGAACCATCCCCTTCTCTGAATAGATAAATGGCAATAGGCAAGAGTTTGGTCCAGGCTTGAGCAAACTTTGGGCATCCAGGTGCTTTGGACTTCAACTCCCACAATTCCTAACAGCCTATCGGCTGTTAGGAATTGTGGAAGTTGAAGTCCAAAACACCTGGATGTCTGAAGTTTGCCCATGCCTGTGTTAAAGCTAAAAGAAAAAGCAAAAAGGCAAGACATCCCATTCCTTCAAACCCAGGATGAATAGGTGCATCTGCCATTCCCCATTTGAGATTTCTCACCTTTGTTACTGTGGCAGGGCAAATACTGCATGGCTCTTTTACATCCACTGCTTCCAACTTCATTCCCACCATGAACTGGTGGTTTTTCAAGTCAGCATGATCCTATAGAACATAAAGCGGGAGGTCCATGTCATTGCTGATGCCCTCTGAGAGAGTGCTAGAGTCTGGAGGAAAATGTGTACCACATTCCCAAAGCTTGGGCTTGTTTCACGATATGCTCACGTTCCTGCATTTCAATATGGGCAAACCGTTTTGAAAAATTAGAAATGCTGGTGATGGAATCTTAAAGTTGATTTGGATATGAACATCTGGGGCTTGTAAACCTGAGCCAAGATAATCCTCTGTATTCTACCCTCGTCACAACCAGAAATTCCAGCCTAGAATAACAGCTGTTATCACCTGTTTTCTCCAGTCTCTCTTCTTCTTTGAAAATATATCTACTTCCCCTTCAAATACATCTCTTTACTAACATTCAATAGATGGTGGAAACCGTATAAGGAGAGTCAAGGTCAGTAAGGAGTATTTTTTTTCCTTTTCTTGATCAATCTTGTTTGTTGGTTAACATCAAAAGTTGCATTAGAAAGTCTGGTGATCTTGAGAGAAAGGTAATAGTCCCTCCACTTTCACAAGGGTTTTATTTATTTATTTATAATATTTCTATCCCACCTTTCTCAGCCTGAAGGTGACTCAAGGTGGCTTACAAATTGGCAGCAATTTGATGGCACAACAGTCATAAAATACAATTAAAAACCATTTAGCACAACATTATAAAAATCCATACAAAAAAACATTAAAAACATATAATCAGTGTCTTCCTGTTAAACTCATTTTTCCAGTAGCATCGTCTAGCCGTTCCATGTTCACTCTTTCATAGTTCCATGTTTATCTGTTATGCTGCATTTCCAACAGCTTGTTCAAAGAGCCAGGTTTTTACTTTTTTTCATAAAGTCAGGAGGGAGGGGGCCAATCTAATATCCCTAGGGAGGGAGTTCCACAGCCGAGGGGCCACCACTGAGAAGGCCCTGTCTCTCGTCCCTGCCAAACATGCCTGCAAGGAAGGCAGGATCGAGAGCATGGCCTCTCCAGACAATCTTAAATTCCTAGATGGTTCATAAGGAGAGATACGTTTGGACAGGTAAGCTGGGCTGGAACTGTTTAGGGCCATGTATGTTGGTCCACATATGTGCAAAAGAGGAGTTGAATGCTCCCTCAGCACTGCTCCAGTTAGCAACCTGGCTGCCGCTCGCTAAACCAGTTGGAGTTTCTGAACAGTCTTCAAAGGCAACCCCATGTAGAGTGTTTTGCAGTAGTCTATATGGGATGTAACCACAGTGTGGACCACCGTGGCCAAGTCAGACTTTCCAAGCTATGGGAGCAGCTGGTGCACAAGTTTTAACTGTGCAAATGCTCAAGGTTAGGAGGACAAGATTGGCCTGAAAGTGGAAAACCTGCAATGTTCAAAAACCTTTTTTTAATCTGAAAGATCATGTCGCTAGAAGTCTGTGGTTACTCCAGCATGACTTGATGGTCAACATCTGCTAGATGTTGCCTCAGAATAGAACTGGAGAACTTAGGGATTCATAGGAGGCTAGTAACTGCTAGAAAACTCCATGTCCTCCAACGCATCTCCGATATGAACTTCCTGTGGAAGCTGACCATTGAGTCATGCTGGAGGACCTAGAGATTCTGAAAGAGAATATATTAACTAAATTCACAATCAATCAAATCCACAAAAGTTAAATCAGCAAATGTGGAAAGATGACTGTACTTCTCCCAAGGCTGCACCATTGAGAGGATGGGATCTTCAACAGCCTACTGGGCTTTCCAACTTCGAGTATGTACTACTGCCCAGCATGCTGGGATGGAGAAAAGAGTGAAGGGTTCCTCAACTTTCATCCCTACCACCATTTCCTTTTGATATTAAAGGGGGGGGGGGGAGAGAAAGGAATATAAGTGAGGGGTCAGAAAACTGACAGAGATAACTCCAAGGATGGAGAAAGCTGGTGGAGATGTATAGTAATACATATCCAAGCCCCCGGTTTGGCCAAGAAATCACCTGAGTTCTCCAGATATCCCCTTTCTCCCTTGAAACACTTGGCTAATTTTTGTGTTAATCCAAGGCAAGCTTGCAATACCTTGCTCTCCCGATCAACATCAAGCGCATTAAGCAAAAGCATGGGCTCTACCTCTGAGTAATAAAAAGCAAAGACAAATGAAGGGCAGAAGGATAGCTTGGAAACACATTAGCATTTAATCTAATTAATTAACATTAGCATGAATTCAGAAATTAATTTCCTAGCCCCAAATGTAATTGCTAATCCTAATGTAAGTAGGATAATTAAATAATAACAATTTCATAAGTCAACACTGATGCAAATCCCCCTGATTCGATCGGTCCCCTCTAGTTGGAACTAACAATTAGTTTTAGGCCTTCGTGTTAGTTATTTTAGTGCAAATTATAAAATTAATCATTTATGTTTGAAATTTTAAAAATCACTTAAATTGAAATCCAAAAAATATTGAATTAAAATAAGAGGAGAGATTGATAATTATTCATTCCATTAACATTGTTCTCCAGAATTCTTAAACATTACTGGTTGGGAATACTGGAAGTTGCTTGAAAACATCTAGAAGACCAAAGCTGGAGAATTATTGATTGAAACAGTGCCTTATAAATGTGTTGTTAAGATTTGAAAGTAAATTAGGAGTTTAAAAGAATGTTTTAATATTTCCAAGCAAACCAAAGCTGGAGAATTATTGATTGAAACAGTGCCTTATAAATGTGTTGTTAAGATTTGAAAGTAAATTAGGAGTTTAAAAGAATGTTTTAATATTTCCAAGCAAAAAAGACACTCCAATATATACGTTCAGGGCATGTACACAAGCATGCATATTCCTTCTAATTTCATCTAGAAATCATAAGTCAAATGTTAAAGCTTAGTGGTCATAATCTACACGCGTAAGTTGGTCAACCATGTCTGACTTATGCTGATTTAATCTATTGTTAATGGATGGCTCCTGCATCAGTTGATTTACCTGGGGTTTGCTTAAACCTCAAAAGGGCTGTCCAGTGCTGAACCTATTTGTGGGAAATGGCTTCAGAACCTTGGATAGTTCCTTCAAAGTCAAGAGTACAAGCTGGTGTGAACTCACAGGTCCACTGACATTTGCTTTCTCCGTTTTGCTTATGGGGAGCAACACTAAACTTTTGAGAAATGAAAATCTCCATAACCTTTTGGAAAATGAATATTCATAACCTTTTGGGAGAACCAGGAATTTTTGGAAAGGAATGAGATTGTAACCTTTTGAAAAGTATGCTCTTCCTGAGAAGAGTTAAAAACTCGCTTGAGTCAACCTTTGCGTTAGTGGTAAATATCCTCTAGTATTCATCCAATTAGGTTTTTCAGCTGTAAGACTGATATACCTAGATATCTCTTTGAACTGTTAGGGAGGAACAAAGATATGCCACAGCACCAAAAACAGCAATAGTCAAAGCAATGGTATTCCCTATGGATGTGAGAGTTGGACCATAAGGAAGGCTGAGCGAAGGAAGATAGATGCTTTTGAACTCTGGTGTTGGAGGAAAGTTCTGAGAGTGCCTTGGACAGCGAAAAGATCCAACCAGTCCATACCTCAAGAAACAAAGCCTGACTGCTCATTGGAGGGAAGAATAGTAGAGGCCAAGATGAAGCACTTTGGCCACATCATGAGAAGAAAGGAAAACTTAGAGAAGACAATGCTACTGGGGAAAATGGAAGAGAGGCCGACCAAGGGCAAGATGGATGGATGGTATCCTTGAAGTGACTGGATTGACCTTGAAAGAGCTGGGGGTGGTGATGGCCGACAGGGAGCTCTGGCGTGGACTGGTCCATGAAGTCACGAAGAGTTGGAAATGACTGAACGAATGAACAACAACAACAAAAAACAGCAGAGTTTCAGAAGTATTCTTTGGTCAAGAGACCAAAAATAAAGTAGTCGTCATTGAAATAACATAGCTGGTTTACTCATAAACTTCATGTATTCAGCATATGTACAGGTACATTGCATATCAATTCAATTACAGATAGGATTTGAAATGGGTTGTTGTAGGTTTTTCGGGCTATTTGGCCATGTTCTAGAAGCATTCTCTCCTGACGTTTTGCCTGCATCTATGGCAAGCATCCTCAGAGGTAGTAAGGATGCTTGCCATAGATGCAGGCGAAATGCCAGGAGAGAATGCTTCTGGAACATGGCCATATAGCCCGAAAAACCTACAACAACCCAGTAATTCCAGCCAATATATACAATATATAGGATTTAAACCAGTTTCTCTGTGCAGATACCATGGGGCATCTTTCTAAGAATCTTAACAGTCCAAAGTCTAAAGCATCTCTCTGTTCTGAGAATCTAATAGAGTCTGTACAGTCAGTTCTCTAAAGTATTCTGTTTCTACTGACTACTAAAAGCAAAATGTTTCTGAACTGGAGTCTGAGTCTGAACGGTCCCAGATCTGGTCACATGGTGTGCAGTCCCACCCACAACACAGAGTTAAGAAAAACTGCATACCAACACACACATAAACAATACAGTAAACAATCTGAATTATATACAAAACAAATTATTATTGGAGGCTTAAAGAAAGTTGCTATCTCCAACAAAACTATGCTGGATGGACCAAGTATTTGGGTAGATATGAAAGCGATCATGGTTCTAACTTAAGCATATGATACTAGTAAATATACTCGAAAAATTCAACTTAAAAATAAACAGCCTAGACTCCAGAGGAAAGTATATTATCTCCATATGTGTTTTCCATTCAAGATTAACTTCCATTCCAGGATATATTTCATAAAATTAAATAAAACCTTCTAGTGAGTGCATAATGTGAACCAACACGCAAGGATGATTAATTGGTGTCTGTATTACTCTGGGCTTCCAAGGGGCATTCCCTTTCTCTCTCTCTCTCTTTTTTTTTTTGGCAGCAGAGAAAAACTAAGAAAATACTGAGTTTTCCTTTTTTTAGCTTATCAGGTTTTTTTTCTCTTCTTCTTTCACTTCATTTTCTTTCAAAATGACCTGCTATTTTTATGGGTTATAGGATTTTGGGGCCTCTTGGTGACGCAGCGGGTTAAACAACTAATCTGCTGAACTTGCTGACCGAAAGGTTGGCGGTTCGAATCCAGGGAGCGGGGTGAGCTCCCACTGTTAGCCCCAGCTTCTGCCAACCTAATAGTTTGACAACATGCAAATGTGAGTAGATCAATAGGTACCGCTTCTGTGGGAAGGAAACGGCGCTCCATGTAGTCATGCCGGCCATATGACCTTGGAGGTGTCTATGGAAAATGCCTGCTCTTCAGCTTAGAAATTGAGATGAGCACCAAACCCCAGAGTCAGTCTCGAGTAGACTTAGTGGAAACCGTTCCTTTACCTATAGGATTTTTCATACTGATTTGTCTTTCTGGAATGCTTGGTGATTTGAAATATTTATATTCATGCCCATGTGGACTATTTTGCTTTGTTGGAGTATTTTGGAGAAGAGAAAATAAGTATGAATATTGCTTTTTTCCCTCTCTTGGTGACAGCTGGAAAGTTATTGTTTCCAATAGGTGGATTTTAATGCACAAAATGGGGTGATTCCAGCACTGATGGATGATATAGGAACGATAGTACTTTAATAACAGTAATTCCACTATCTGTGCTTCAGTAGAACGAGGCCTTTTTGAAAGCATTGGCAATGAACTAAGAGCTATATGTAGTGCAAGATAGTTGCACTTCTTTGCAAGTCACCGCCTTCTCCTTTTATTAAACCTGCAGAGTTTTCTCTTCAGAAATATCCTCACTGCAGGGAGTCCAAATTCACAAATAAGAAACACCAGCTCAAGTATATATTGCTTTGACAATCATAGCAGGTGAGAAACTGAAATCGAGGCAAGGACGACAATGAGAAAAGGCATGAATCTCAGATATGGAATTAATCTGGAGAACACTGTCTTTGAACAAGAGAAACCATGAAATAAACATTTATTTTAAGTAATACTAGCTTGGCTACCTGGTGTTGCGCTATGCTACTCTGCTGCTGAGTATGCATGCCGAGTGTGGAACACATCTCACCACGCTAAAACAGTGGATGGGGCTCTTAATGAGACATGCCGCATTATCACGAGGTGTCTGCGCCCTACACCACTGGAGAAATTACACTGCTTAGCCGGTATTGCACCACCTGACATCCGCCGGGAAGTAGCAGCCAATAGTGAAAGGACCAAGGCAGAAACTTCTCCAGCTCATCCCCTGTTTGGGTATCAGCCAGCACGTCATCGACTTAAATCTAGAAATAGTTTTCTAAGATCTACAGAGACACTCGCTGGAACACCTCAGCAAGCGAGAATCCAAAAGTGGCAGGCTCAAACCCAGAACCTCAATCCAATGGCTGATACCAAATGAGAGACTCCCCCCTGGGCACACAGAAGACTGGGCCTTGGAAGGCGCTGAACAGACTGCGCTCTGGCACCACGAGATGCAGAGCCAACCTTAAGAAATGGGGCTACAAAGTGGAATCCACGACATGCGAGCGCGGAGAAGAGCAAACCACTGACCACCTGCTGCAATGCAACCTGAGCCTGCCACATGCACAATGGAGGACCTTCTTGCGGCAACACCAGAGGCACTCCAAGTGGCCAGATACTGGTCAAAGGACATTTAATCAACTACCAAGCTTGCAAACTCTGTGCCTTTTGTATGTTTGTTTGTTCTGTCAAAAATGTAATACAACTGTTCGGTTGCCTGACACGATAAATAAAATTTAAAAAATAAAATACCCGGTGTTGTCCGGATTATTTGAAAAAGTCATTTTTTTTTATTTTACAAAATGCATAAGGTTGTGGATGAACTACAACTCACATCATGCCAGGTTAATCCCCTGAAACTCCATCAGTAGTTAAAGTTTGTCATGTTGGACAAGTTTGCTCTAGATGCATCAACGGTGGGGTTCAGTGATCTCTGGCTGCAGGATAAACTACAGGTCTCCCACAATGGTGGGTTGGTCCCCTCAAATCCCTGCAGTAGGTGTAGTTGGACATAGGAGTTCTGTGTGCCAAGTTTGGTCCAGAACTGTCATCGGTGGTGGTCACCGTGTCTCCGGATATAAGTGAACTACAACTTCCAGAAATGAAGGTCAGTTTCCCCCAAATCCCTCCAGTATGTTCAGTTGGTCATGGTGGTTCTGTGTGCCAAGCTAGGTCCAGGGCCATCGTTGGTGCAGTCCTGAGTGCTCTTTGGTTGCAGGTGAACTGTATATCCCAGTAACTATAATGGCTATAAATCAAGGTCAATTCCACCAAACCTCTCCTTTGTCGGTGTGGGTCACAATGCTCTGACTTGACACAAGATTAACTACAACTTCCATCATGTGGAGTCAATCCCCTGAATCCCCTCCAGTATATTTAGTTGCTGATTAGTTCTGCTCTGTTTGTTGTGCAGACAGAGTTGAAAAGAGTAGGAAAGGGTTAAGGGAGAGGCAGTGGGTGGGATCATGCAAATTCCACACCAATGGAGAGATTAAGAAACACTGGGATGTCTGTGGTGGAGGAAACACATAAAATCTAGGATGAAATTGTCCCCAAATGAAAGCATTCTTTGGATGGCGGGCAGTATGGTGTTTGAGGAGAAGTTTAGCAGGGTTTGGGCTACATATTCATGGCGCTCACTATAACCTGAAATGTCATTGGGGGGAGGGCTTTTGGTGGCTCCTCAGTATTATGGGTTAAGGCTGTTTGTGGAAGTCAGAGCCTGTCTGTAGACATGGGAACCCCAGTCACATACACACATACATATTTTCACTTTTATTATGTACTAGTGGTTCCCTGCCACGCGTTGCTGTGGCTCAGTCTAGTGATCTGGAAAATAAAGTAATGAGAAAGTATTGGTTTCTAATATATGTAATTTCTTGATGCTTGTGGGTAAACAGTATTTCTTTCTGTTTCTTTGCCAGTGTTGGAGATTGTGTTGGAGATGTGGAGATTGTCTGGTTTGCCTACTCTGGAACATGCAACATATCATTGTCCTTCTTTAGGGGTCTCTTTCAAATCTTTGATACTGCATCTGTCATATACATATATATGTGTGTGTGTGTGTGAATGGCTGGATGGCCCTTTGTCAGGAGGGCTTTGATTATGTTTTCTTGCCCTGGTGAAGGGAGTTGGACTGGATGGCCTTAAGGCAGCATTTCTCAACCTGGGAAGTCAAGACCCCGGGGGGGGGGTCACCAGGGGGGTGTCAGAAGGGTCACCAAAACCCACCAGAAAACACAGTATTTTCTGTTGGTTATGAGGGTTCTGTGTAGGAAGTTTGCCCCAATTCTGTCATTGGTGGGTTTCAGAATGCTCCTTGATTGTAGGTGAACTATAAATCCCAGTAACTACAACTCCCAAATGTCAAGGTCTATTTTCCCCAAACTCCACCAGTGTTCACATTTGGGCATATTGAGTATTCATGCCAAGTTTGGTCCAGATCCATCCTTGTTTGAGTCCACAGTGCTCTCTGGATGTAGGTGAACTACAACTCCAAAACTCAAGGTCAATGCCACCAAACCCTTCTAGTGTTTTCTGTTGGTCAGGAGTCCTGTGTGCCAAGTTTGGTTCAATTCCATCATTGGTGGAGTTCAGAATGCTCTTTGATTATAGGTGAACTATAAATCCCAGCAACTACAACTCCCAAATGACAAAATCATAATTTTTTGAGTGATGGTCACTCCTTGTGTTGTGAGACATTTTGTTGCCAAATTTGGTGTGATTTCGTTCATTGGTTCTTTTGTTTTTAAGGTACTCATTACACACTGAGCATTTTTATATATATAGATATAGATTTGCTTATTTTAGTCCATTTCCCTCATACACAAATATCAAGTTCCCAAAGGTACCATGAATAAATTAAGTGTTATATGTTTTCCCCCACAATTCTATCGTGGAACAAAAAGCAATTCCCAATTCTGATATTTCTAGCAAAGATATATTTCCTCTCAATTATTTTTTAATGCTATTGGATTTTTTAAAAAGATAATCTTGTTATACTTCAGCGTCAAGTATTACTGAACTGTTTAATCTTGATGTATATTTTATTGCCGTGAAATGTTTTCCCATTTAGGCTATTTATTATGCTACTATTTTAAAAAAAATCTATGTGGTGGTCTGGAAAAGCTGCATTTGGTTATACAAAACTCTCCCACTCCATCTATATTTTAAATCTATAATAAAACAAAAGGCAGCCAATTTGGTATTGTCATATCCATTCAAGTTGACTTGAAGGCACAGTGGGTTAAACCCTTGTGCCGGCAGGACTGGTTGACCAGCAGGTTAGTGGTTCAAATCTGGGGAGTGGGGTAAGCTCCCGCCTGTCAGCTCCAGCTTCCCATGTGGGGACATGAGAGAAGCCTCCCACAGGATGGTAATACATCAAGGCATCCCCTGGACAACGTACTTGCAGGCAGCCCATTCTCTCACACCAGAAGCAGCTTGCAATTTCTCAAGGTGTTTCTGACATGAAAAAAAAGTTGACTCCAGTTTGTGGTGATCCCATCGGAGGGTTTTTTTTCAAGATTGCTTTAGCAGAGTCTGAGAGATCATAACTTGACAACACTTTAAATTGCTAGTTTCCTTAGACGCTTTTAGCTAAATAAGGAATAATAGATATGTTTTACCTTAAACACTTCCACTGGCAGGGGAGACTTGGCTGCTTCAATAAGGGATTTATCCAGAGCAGCTTTCCATTCAGCCACAGTCTTCAGAGCATAGATTTCTACAACAAACAACATCAGGCATGACATGGGCATTTAAGGAACATACGTTCATACATCCTGCAATATTTATTTATTATTTATTTATTATTCAAACATATGCCACCACTCTGCTGGGGCTTGGAGCGGCTTACAAGAACAGGCTAAAATCTAACACAATTTAAAACAATTTAAAAACAACAATATCAAAGATCAAAGGCCTTTCGAAACAGATATGTCTTACATGCCCTGCAGAAAGCTGATAAGTCCCGCAAGGCACAGATTTCAGGTGGCAGAGTATTCCAGAGTGATGGTACCACTGCTGTAAAGGCTCTGTGTCTGGTTGCTGTTAGACGGTCCCTCAGGTACATCAGCCCCAGACCATGCAAGGCCTTAAAGGTGAGTACCATCACTTTGAAAGTGATCCGGTGCTCAATTGGTAACCAATGCAGCTGCAGTAAGATTGGTGTTATGTGGCATCTCATCGGAATTCCCGCAAGAAGCCGAACAGCTGCATTTTGTACCAACTTGAGCTTCCGGATCACCGACAGAGGAAGGCCAATGTAAAGGGCGTTACAGTAGTCCAGTCTTGAGATGACCGTGGCCTGGATCACCGTAGATAGGTCATCCCTGGACAGGGAGGGGGCCAGCCGTCTAGCCTGCCGCAGATGAAAAAAAGCAGTTCTGCTAACGGCGGAGACCTGGGCCTCCATCGTCAGCAGAGGGTCCAAAAGGACTCCCAGACTCTTTACCAATGATGACGGGCGTAGCGCCTCGCCATCCAGGGTAGGCAGCTGGATGTCCCCACTGCCCGGTTGACCCAGCCATAGGATCTCCATCTTTGCTGGATTCACCCTCAACCTGCTGGCACGCAGCCATCCAGTAACGGCCTCGAGGCACTGATGGAAACAATCGGGTACAGAGTCCGGTCGGCCTTCCATCTTCAGCACCAGCTGAGTGTCATCGGCGTACTGATAACACTCAAGCCCAAAACCTCGAACCAGCTGAGCAAGTGGTCGCATATAGATGTTAAACAACAGAGGGGAGAGAATGGCCCCCTGAGGAACCCCACAAGATAGAGGGGACCTCTCAGAGACCAGGCCTCCCCTCTCCACTCGCTGTCCATGGTTGTGAAGAAAGGAGGACAGCCAATTTTCATGAAAAGGGTCATTTCAGTCAATAACAATATATCTCAATTCAGGCAGACTTCTAAAGGAGGGATGGAGAAGAGGAGGACCTCCAAATGTTTTGACTACAACACTCAACGTTCTTGTTTATGGGGAATGTTGGTCCAGACTAATGGAAACTGCAGTCCAACAAGACCTCGAGAGAATACACATTCCTCATGCTGTATTGTTGAAGGCTTTCATAACCTGAATCACTGGGTTTTTGTAGGTTTTTGGGGCTGTATGGCCATGTTCCTACTGGCTGTTAGGAATTGTGGGAGTTGGAGTCCAAAACACCCGGAGGGCTGAAGTTTGCCCATGCCCGGGTAAGCCAATGCTCAAACCACTACTTGGTTTTCAATGTGTAAGATAGAGAATAGTATCTCTAAAATGATCAAGGGTCTGGAGAACAAGCCCTATGAGGAGCGGCTTAAGGAGCTGGGCATGTTTAGCCTGAAGAAGAGAAGGCTGAGAGGAGATATGATAGCCATGTATAAATATATGAGAGGAAGTCACAGGGAGGAGGGAGCAAGCTTGTTTTCTGCTTCCCTGGAGACTAGGACACGAAACAATGGCTTCAAACTACAAGAGAGGAGATTCCATCTGAACATGAGGAAGAACTTCCTGACTGTGAGAGCCGTTCAGCAGTGGAACTCTCTGTCCCGGAGTGTGGTGGAGGCTCCTTCTTTGGAAGCTTTTAAACAGAGGCTGGATGGCCATCTACCAGGGGTGATTTGAATGCAATATTCCTGCTTCTTGGCAGGGGGTTGGACTGGATGGCCCATGAGGTCTCTTCCAACTCTTTGATTCTATGATTCTATAAGGTGTATGTTTTATCAGGATCTACACCTGGGAAGTAAAGGTGAAATTTCTCTGCTCTCCACTGCAATCCTGATGAAATTAAGCTAGACTAATATTTCAAATTGGAAATGATCTGATTGAACACAACAACAACAACAGTATATGGTGCATTACTTCATGCATTCTGTACCCCAACTAGTTAGTGCGTTCACTCTGCTATGTAACAATAAATGTCAGAATGAGACCCAAGAGACGTAAAGATGGACAGATGGCTGTGGATTAATTACACTAAACATGGACACTGAAACCCAGTGTTTATGTTCTGAGATGAATGGCTGTGGCTAAAATGAAATCCTGTTGGCCATTTAAGCACAGACCCAAATCTGCCAATGAAAACCAACACTGTTCATGGACCCCAGGGCTCTTGGAGGAGGGAAGTCCTTGCCATAGTTCATATCTGTTGCTTGGAATCCTGTTTGCGGCTTCACAACACAGCAATAAATCTGGGTTCTTGCTGCATAACGGTAAACCTGCCATTTATGACTTTACAAGATTGCAGGTGCAAGAACACTTGTGGCAACTTCATTACTTCTCTTCTATATTTCTAGGTGGGAAAAACAAGGGGGAGAGAAGCATGCATTGCACACCTATAATTGCACTGATGTTTAAGCTGGAAGAGCCATTTTATGGGATGCTTTGAGCAGATTGAAGAGGTTACGAAGCAAGGATTTGGAGACTTGCTTATCTGAAGAGGTGGGTTTTTATATAGTCACTAAATCACAGAACTTCATTGCCAGGCAAACATGATAGAGGAGTCTATATGCGAGTGTTGATACACATTTAAAGGGGAACATTCATCTTTCAAGGCTACAATTACAATTGCTCACATTTATACTTCCCGGTTAAGTATAAAGAATGCAGGGTTCTCTCATACTACACAGTTATAGTGTTATAATTCTACTTTAACTGCCATAAGGTGCATCTACATGCAGAATTAATGCAATTAATTTTAACCGCCACAGCTTAATGCTATGGGATCATGTGTGCTGCAGTCATACAAGGCTTTCTATGCCAAAGAGTGCTGGCAACTCATCAAATTACAAATCCTAGGATCCTGTAGCACTGAAATATAGTGGTATCAAACTGCATTAATTCAACTGTACAGATGTACCCATAGTTTATCTTATGGAATTCTGGAATTTACAATTTAGGGCAGGCATGGGCAAACTTTCTAACTTGGGGGCCACATGGTAGCACTCCCTGAACTCTTTCTCCCACTCTGGACATTATTCCACAGACATATATCCACTCCACTTGCTTCACTGCCAACGGAATCTCTGAAGATGCCAGCCACAGGTGCAGGTGAAAGTTCAGGAGAGAATTGTTGCTACTAGGGGTTTACAACAAGCTTTTTGTAAGTAAAGGGAGGATGAAGAGGGAGGGAATACGGGAAAGGTGAAGGGAAAACAGGGTAAGGGCAGAAGGAGGAGAGAGGGGCGCAGTGAGAGAAGAGGGCGAGAGCATGAGCCATGAGAGCAAGGACAGCAGCTGGAGCAGAGGAGAGATTGAGGGGAGGGAGACGCGACCGAGGAGCGAGGGCGTAGCATGGCGGCTCTGCGCTCTGAGGCTGGGAGGCAGGGGTGCGACCGGGCCGGAGCACCAGAGCGAAGAATCTTGCGGGAGGAGGAGAGGAAAAGGGGGGGAGGGAAAGAGGAGGGGGAAGGGGCGCAGAGCGAAAGTAGAAAGTGGGGATGAATAGGTAACAGGCGAGG